TCAAGATAGGGCGTTACCATCAGGTATGGACCTGGAGTTGGGATCCAGGGAATTGCCCAGGGTATGGGAAGGTGCTGTATCTGGCCGAGTTCCAGCCAGCCACCCCTACCCCCTGGCAGGAATTCCAGCCTAGGTGGCTCCTACCTGCTTCTTGAACCCAGAACAGGTGCCTGGGATAGAAATAGGACATTACCTAGGAGAGTTCCTTTTGAAGCGGGATGCCAGTCACACCTGGGTGGCTTCCATTTTTCCTGTAGCATTTACAAGAGCAGCTGGACTTAGATCTCTCACCTTTGGAGTACATGATGAAGTGCTACCCAGAGATCAAGGAGAAGGAAGAAATGAGGAAGATCATTGGGCGATATGGTCTCACTGGGAAACAGCAGGTCAGTAAAGGAGGGTGTGGTGAGAACGCCAGATAGCTGGGATTCTGGGGCTGCGTGGGTCAGGGGACACTGTCTTGGCAGCCTAGGTTTGGAAGCTGTCCAAACCAGAGTCTCCTCCATTTGATTCCCCTAAGAACCTACAACCTTTTCTTTACTCTAGATTGTTATGTAATGGAGTATTTTGAGGGGCTAAGGATAGCACGCCAGTCTCAACGTGCCCTTGTGCCATAGCACTTGAGGGCAAAGGAACTCGCAATCTAGAAAACAAATTTCTGGGTGCAGATCTGGAACGATCCCGTTCATTAAGATTTAATTGCCAAGAGAGCAAGAGGTATGGGCTTAGTAATGACAAGAGCTTCAGGTTTCCAGATGAGTCTCTTTCAGGACTCAAGAGACTAGTGGGTCTCTCTGAGCCTCACTTTTTGTAAAATGGCAATACTGATGGAGGAGTCAGGGAGAAATGGAGGAGAGATGAGCTGTGCTGTTTGGTGGGGATAATGCCAAGTTACATGTATGTCATGGTTCCACCCAGGTGAGCCCAATCCGGAACTTGTCAGACGGGCAGAAATGCCGAGTGTGTCTGGCCTGGCTGGCTTGGCAGAACCCCCACATGCTCTTCCTGGACGAGCCCACCAATCACCTGGATATTGAGACCATTGATGCCCTGGCAGATGCCATCAATGAGTTTGAGGGTGGTATGATGCTGGTCAGCCATGACTTCAGACTCATTCAGCAGGTGAGGCCCTGGCCAGGGGGTGAGGCACAGGAGAGACCTTCTAGAAGGTTGGGTAGGGTAGTCGTGGCATGTGGAGGGCACATAACACCTGCTTACTGAATTAAGAGAAGGGGCTCAGAGTGTAGACACAGGTGGTGAGGACCAGTACTTATGCCTCTTTGGGGCTACTTAGAAAGCCGTAACTGAAACGCTTCATTTCTTCTATCGAGATGTTAACCAACTTGGCATTTTTGGCTCAAATGGGAAAGAGAGTTGGGTAGGAAACAGGGTGCTTTTACTACTGTCCCAAGATTCTTCAGTCCGAAAATAGTTTTCTGCTAAGAAGGATTTTGATTAGACAGAGAGCTACCACAGTCATTGGAGAAAAAGCTGCTGCTCATTCCTCTGAAGCTCTGGAGAAGATGGGAGGTGGAGAAAAGAAAGCTGAGAGTGAAGCCTCTAAATCAGACGTCCCCAAACTTTTTACGCAGGGGGCCAGTTCACTGTCCCTCAGACCGTTGGAGGGCCGCCACATACTGTGCTCCTCTCACTGACCACCAATGAAAGAGGTGCCCCTTCCTGAAGTGCGACGGCGGGGCTGGATAAATGGCCTCAGGGGGCTGCATGCGGCCCGCGGGCCGTAGTTTGGGGACGCCTGCTCTAAATAGATCTAGACCCTGCCAGGGAGCTGACACTAGGAGTGACACAGCAGTTCCTGGCTGGTAAGGCTGCAAACCTGGTTATGGTACCCTGGGGTTAGAACATCCCAAATAACTTAGAATTAGTGGGACAGTGAGCTGGATATGGATTTGGGCGGTGGAGTTTTCTTCCTAGAATGTCTGCTGGGCAGAGGTGGGGACAGTGACTGGCTCAGGATTAAGTCTAGGCTTTGCTTTCCAGGTTGCACAGGAAATTTGGGTCTGTGAGAAGCAGACAATCACCAAGTGGCCTGGAGACATCCTGGCTTACAAAGAGCACCTCAAGTCCAAGCTGGTGGATGAGGAGCCCCAGCTCACCAAGAGGACCCACAACGTGTGAGCCCTCTGCCTGGGCTCAGGTCAGGAGCTCCGTCTGGGAACTAACAGCTGCTACCCTGACCAGCTGCTCAGGACAGGACCCTGGGGCTGCACTCCTGCATTGCTGCAATACCGCTTCCCCAGCCTCTCCCCTGCCCCTCGACCAGCCTTAGCTGCACTCTCTTATCTACAGCTGGACAGTACCTGTCCGTTTCCCGTCCTCCTTCCAGTTACTTCTGTCCATGTCTGGACTCGGCTGGCCGTTCCCTCCAGCCCCTTGCTGGTTACCTTACTCTGAGTGTGATGCAGTCAGAGGCACCTGCGGGTTAGCCCAAGGGCCCAAGCCTGGATTTGGCCCTCGAAGGAGCTTAGGATCCTCGTTTTCTGGGTTTTGGTGATGTTGGAGGAATGCCCACCGTCCCCATTCCTTTTTGCTTCTGGTTTGGAGCTCTGGATCAGGACCTTCGTCCTGGTCAGTTTTTAAATAATTATTTAACAGTGTAACTTTTAGACCTGCGTGGCATCTACAAAGCGCCCAATAAAGAAAGAGGAAGCCATGGTCCCTACCTTCCTTCTCAGGTCTCTGGGGCCTTCTTCTCCCTGGGTGCCCACAGGCACTGCCCACAGCAGAAGCCGGATCCAGCATCAGTTGTGTGGATGGGAACTGGACACTAGTCCATGGGAGCTGGAAGAACTTTCTCCCTTTACCGCTGATTTGAAATTACCTTTTCTCAGGCCTGTGATTCACAGACTTTAACATGAATCAGAATCACCTGGAGGGCTCATCAGATCAGATTGCCAGATCTCGCCTCAGGGTTTGTGGTTCGGTAGGTCTTGGGGGAAACCAAGAACATTACCATTTCTAAGAAGTTTCCAGGTGATGCTGGTGTTGCTGGTCTAGGGGCTGTATTTTGAGAACCACTGTCAGGGCATGGTTTTCCGACTGTGATTTGAAGTTCTGCCCCATCTGCATAGCAGTTGGGCTGCTTGTTAAAAATGCAGGCCAGGTGTGTTGGCTCACACCTGTAATCCCAGCACTTTGGGAGGCAGAGGCAGGTGGATCACTTGAGCTCAGGAGTTCAAGATGAGGGCAACATGGTGAAACGCGTCTCTACATGCCTGGAGTCCCACCTGCTCAGGTGGCTGGGGTGGATGGATTGCTTGAGCCCAGGAGGCAGAGGTTGCAGTGAGCTGAGATCGCACCACTGCACTCCAACCTGGGTGACAAAGCAAAACCTTGTCTCAAAAAAATAAGAAATGCAGACTGGCCAGGCACAATGGCTCACACCTGCCTGTAAGCTCATCACCTTGGGAGGCCAATGTAGGAGGATCGATTGAGCCCAGAAGTTCAAGACCAGCCTGGGCAAAATAGGGAGACCCCCCCCCTCTACAAATAATAATAATTAAAAAAACAGGCACCGTAGCATGTGCCTGTGGTCCCAGCTGTGCTGGAAGCAGGAGGCTCACTTGAGCCCAGGAGGTTGAGGCTGCAGTGAGCAGAGAACGTGTCACTGCACTCCAGCCTGAGGACAGACTGAGATATGTCTCAAAAAATGCAGCTTGCTGAGCGTCAGACCTATTGATTGCATTTGGTAGAATGAGAGAGGTGCAGAGATGGCCAGGAGTTTGCATTTCCACACCAATGTTTGTGAACCTCTCTAACTATTGGGATATAGGAGATTAGGCCTGTCCTAATTGTGGCCTGTCCACAGCCATAGTTTTCATCACTAATGAATTCACTTCCAGCCCAGGCCCCTGTATACCTTGTCTGAGTCAGCACTTCGCCAGTGGCCATCCTTCCTGGTGTGGATTCATCACTCTGCCTCTGAAAACAGCAGCCACCCTATGGGAAGACAGCCATGATTTTTCAGTACTCATTATAGTACAGCCAGGACTGGTTGAGGGGAAGGAACAGCTGTCCCAGGTGGTGTTTAAGCCCCTAAGGAGCTCGTGATCTAGTGGGAAAGCCAGTAAGACAGAACCACACAGGACATAAGTTAGATGCTAAATTATGATTTAGATAGGAGACAGCAGTATTGAAAAGGGAGGGAAGTTTCTTGTGAGTAGCTACCCGGAAAGGTGAGATTGGTGTGCTCTCCCTTCAAAAACGAGTAGGGCCTTCTCAGATGGCCAAGAAGTCCAGGAGCTCCCCTGGGCAGTGGGGACAAGAGCCTCCCTTGAGACCCTGCAGCAGAGACAGACAGGAGTCCTTTCTTCTCACTGACCCCAGAGGGGACTGGCTTGACTGCTTTATGCCTTAATTGGGGCCTGGAGCAAATGGCCCACATTAGTCTGTCCTGAGTGTCCAGAGCCTTGTTTAGGGGAAAATGGCATCTGGAGAGTGGGCTGCAGGGATAAAGGGGACAGTGAGGGACAGAGCCCCTGCTACTTCAGCCAAGGAGGTGATGGACATTACTAAGAATCCAGGTAGTCTTGGAACCTCCAGAGTCTCCATGCTGGGACACAAGGCCTTCAGAACCTGGAGGAATGGAAATAGTCCAGTCAGCCTGCTTGTCGAGAAAAAGGTCAACCTTGGTAATCTAAAGAATGTTTTTCTTTCTTTCTTTCTTTCTTTCTTTCTTTTTTTTTTTTTTTTGAGACAAGAGTTTCGCTCTTGTGACCCAGGCTGGAGTGCAATGGCGCGATCTCGGCTCACCGCAACCTCCGCCTCCTGGGCTCAGGCAATTCTCCTGCCTCAGCCTCCTGAGTAGCTGGGATTACAGGCACGCGCCACCATGCCCAGCTGATTTTTTGTATTTTTAGTAGAGACGGGGTTTCACCATGTTGACCAGGATGGTCTCGATCTCTTGACCTCATGATCCACCCGCCTCGGCCTCCCAAAGTGCTGGGATTACAGGCGTGAGCCACCGCGCCCGGCCCAAGAATGTTTTAAAAGTACACAAAATACATATTTCCAAAATTAGCAGTGCCTCGTTTTGGATTGAGAAATGCCCTGTTCTCCTAAACCTTAGCACATAGGATGTGACGGGCCGTTCAGAGCTGGGTGGGGAGGTAAGCTGATTGAGGGGTTGCTTGGTTTAACAGCCAGCAGGTGATGCTGGTCTTTGGAAACTTGCCCCCACCTTTCCATTCAGAACATCCTCTTTACTCCCAAGCCTCTATACCTTTCATATTGCTCCATGCTTCTTTAATCACCGCATTCAAGGGCCTGAAATATTTGTTCCCCCATAGGTGCTAAGTGAGACAATTGACTCCATTTTGTGATGACCTTTTTCTTCCCTTTACTGCCAGCTCCCAAGACCCCCACGTCTGCTTTTCTGGAGAGCATCTATTGTTTTTTTTGCTTCTTGCCGCCAGTGGTCTTCGTGTTAGCCTCTTCACTACCTGGGGGGGCTTCCTGCTGTCTGCATCTATAGTCCAGGCTCAGGCGTTTTGCTCATTGTCTGCCTTCAGTCCAAGCCTCATTATACTCAGCTCACGCTGATTCCACTTGACCTTTCACACCATTTCTTCCATTCTTCCCAATTAAAGGAGACATCCTACAAGACCGGCTTCATATACCCATTTGTGCCAAGAAGCGACCCCTAGCTCCTCGAGCCCTCCTCGTGATAGGTACCATCCGCTTTGGCCCCTTCGCCCTTCTCTGGTGGTTTGATGTGAATCAGTCTTGTCTCTTCAGCTCCACTGGGACCCAGTGGAGGAGGGAGCCTGCATTCCTTCTGGAGTCCCCAGCACTCTGAGCTATGCTGGCACCTGTGTGCCCCGTGATTACAGGCTGGCGAGCTGGAGTTGCCTGAACTTTTAACAAGTGTGTAAATAGTAGATAGTTGGGTGAAGCAGGGGACCCAGTGAAGGGTTTCTTAATTCAGAGACAAAAAATTATTTGTGGGAGAGGAAGGAGCAATTGTCTCTTTTCAAGGTTAGCCCAGAGCATGTTCTAGGTTGGGATTGAGTCACGCCCCTTAACCTCCCACCCCCCCTCTCCCAGGTGCATGCCCCCAGCCACACCTGGCAGGGCAGCTGACTTCATAAAAGTAGCTCTGAGGGGTGGGTAGGGGCTAGAGGAGCAGGAAGATGAGCGCTGAGTATGGACAGCAGCAGCAGCAGCAGCAGCAGCAGCAGCTCGGGGGCCGTGGGGGCCGCAGTACTAGGAACAAGAAATCCAAAAAGCGCTGCCGGCGCAAGGAAACCTACTCCATGTATATCTACAAGGTGCTGAAGCAGGTGAGTGCAGGGCAGGGGTGTGTGTGTGGGATGCCCTTGCAAAGTGCCTTGAAAGGGCACTGGCTGGAAGCCGGGGCTCTGAGGTTAGTGTTGGCAGTGGGGCAAGTGGCTAAGGCAAGCCAGGTCCCTCTTGAGGTGGCAGGACCCTATTTTCGAGGTCTCCACCTCTCCCAGGATCTTGGGTACTGGTGATAGGAGACAAAGTGTGCTTTCTGCCACCCTCCAGTAGTTTACGGGGACAATGGGACAGCATGATTAGGTGGGACATAATTAAAAGACAAGAGGACCACACTTTCTGTGCCAGGCTGAAGGTGATCAGGTGCCAAAGATTATGACACAACAAGGTGTGTTTGATGACTGAGAAGAGGGGTGATCAGGGTGAACTGGAGTCTTGGGGAAGGTTTTCTGGACAAGTGGCACTCAGCTCTTCAAGGGGCTTAGGGTTTGCCCACCTTATAGACCAGGCGTCCCCAAACTACGGCCCGTGGGCCACATGTGGCCCCCTGAGGCCATTTATCCGGCCCCTGCCGCACTTCAGGAAGGGGCACCTCTTTCATTGGTGGTCAGTGAGAGGAGCACAGTATGTGGCGGCCCTCCAACGGTCTGAGGTACAGTGAACTGGCCCCCTGTGTAAAAAGTTTGGGGACGCCTGTTGTAGACAAAGAGCCTGAGGCCTCTAAAGACTCCCTGGGGATCCTGCATCACATGGCCTGACGGTGGCAGTATCCCAGCTCCCCTGGCTCTGGGCAAGCCCCTAGCATCCTTCCTGTGTGTTCCTCTCCCCAACACCGAGGGGCTGCAGGTGCCCTATATTTATGCATGAAAAGCGGCTACTCCCAGGAATTGGAACACTGACCATCAGTTCGTCTGGAGGATCCAGAGCCGATACTCAGCAGGGCCAGGGCCAGGAGGAGGGAGGGGTAGCCACGTGCTGCCTGCCTTGGGTCTCCAACCTGCCTGAAACTCTTCCCCCTCTGCTAGAGCAGGTCCCAGAGGTAATGCCTGACTCCAGTCTGAATCCCATTAGCAGCTTTAGTGAATTGACAACTTGGGTGTCTGGGAATGCTCTTGCAGGGTCAGGGGTGGGTGAGTCCAGCGCTGATTTGGGTTGGCTGAAGAGATGCACCAGAGGACAGACCCTGGTGCCCTGAAAAAAGTGGGGTAGGAGTGGGTATCACTGAGCCCTGTGTCTTAGCCCGACTTAGAGGGGCAAAAATTGCAACTGATGGGTTGGACCAGGCCTGGACTTGCAGAGGAGAGTGCTGCTGAGGGCCAACTCCTCAACCTCCTGCTGCAGGTGAGAACCCTAAAGAGAACAGAGGGTGCTGACAGCAGAGGGGGTTGGGGCAGAACCAGCCTTGTGCCAGGTGCAGATTTGCTGCCAGCGGTGGAAACCAGAGGCGGCAGGGAGGGTGGCTGGGACAGCCTCCTGGTTCCAGTGCTGTCTCCACCTCTGGCTCCATGTAGGTTGTGGGACAGTTACTTCTCTCCCACCTCACATCTGGCATGATCTACCTACTCACATTTTAGGACTGTCATCAGGTCCCATTTGCTTTACTAAATGTCACTTAGTTCAAAAGCTTATGTGACAGAAAAGGAAATCCATTTCCCAGAGGAAAGGGCCATCCACATTTGAGGTTGTTGTAATTCACAGGGCACAGGGCAGCCACAGAACAGGACTCCTACCTCCTGGTCCAGGGCTGCGACTGTCTCGGGGACATGCTCGCTGGTCATGTGCTCCACCAAGTTACATGCACAAACCTTTCTTCCCTCCAGCCCTGCCTCTGGAATTAACCTTCCCTGTGCTCACACAAGGTTCAGAGATGGACATTTACCATAGCACTGATAGTAAAACAACAAAAACGCCCAAACCCAAACCTTGAATGTTCGTTAAGAGAGGAATGGTGATGGGAAGTATGACTCATCATACCATGGAACATTACGCAAGTACAGCAGTGAAAACAGCAAGCTGCGTGTGGAACTGGTCCCGCTTGTTAAGTACAGCGGCTTGTGTGTGCTCATACGAGGAACTTAATCACGTTACCTCTTGCAGTTGAAAACTTCTTTTGAACAACTTGGATATACCATAGTAGCACAAAGAAAACACAAATCCCTATTTCCTTGTCTGTTGGCCTCTGGGAAGGGGCTGGTGAGGAGCCTCCTTGCCTTCTGCCTCTGGCTTCCTAGAGTCCCCAGCTTGGAGCTGAGACTTGCAGCAGAGGTAGGACCCGCCCCCTCCAACCGCCTCCGCCAGCCCCTTCCACTAACCAAGTGGTGCTACCCTCTCTCCAGGTGCACCCCGACATCGGCATCTCTGCCAAGGCCATGAGCATCATGAACTCCTTTGTGAATGATGTGTTTGAACGGCTGGCGGGTGAGGCTGCCCGGCTGGCCCAGTACTCAGGCCGGACCACCCTGACTTCCCGGGAAGTCCAGACAGCTGTGCGTCTGCTGCTGCCTGGGGAGCTGGCCAAGCACGCTGTGTCCGAGGGCACCAAGGCTGTCACCAAGTACACCAGCTCCAAGTGACCCAGAGCCTGACAAAAATAAAGGGTGAACTGTTTCTGTGCACTGTGGTGATTTGCAAGGATGTTTGAGGCCAGGGGGTGGTGTGGAGCAAGTGTGTCCTCACTTTGAGGCTACCGCAGGTGGAATAGCTCTTCTCCGTCACTTTTTAGAAACTGCTTTCTGCGTACATCCCCGTGAGCAAGGTGTGATAGCTCGGTACACATGCAAATGTTCTATTTGGTAGTGAGCTGGAGTAGGGCCTGGGCCTGGGCTATCATCTGGATTTCTACCAGCTGATTCCCTCTCTGGGCCTGAAATTACTCCTGTGTGGTGCTCTTTCAGGCTGTGGCTTTGCGACGTCATTTCCCAGGAACTATCATTGCATCCGATATGACAGATGCTGTTGTGTGAAGGGGCCACAAAGATCTAGTCAAGATATAAAAACTGAAGGCCCAGATCAGCTTCTAAATAATCTGCTGAGATCAGTATGATTTTTTACTTTCCCCTTATTTTCAGAACAAATCAGTGGAGATGTTTTCGAAGCGCCTAACTTTTCTTTTCTTTTTTTCTTTTTTAACCCAAAGTGCTCATCTGCAGAAACTCCTAACTTTTCTTCTCCAGCTTTATTTGGAAAAATTTGAAACCCACAGAAAAACGCAAGAAAGCACCATGGCCATTCCTGTGTCCTTACCTAAATTGGCCACTCACCACCAGACCACTTGCTTTTTCTCTCTCATGCAGCCTCTGCTTATCTTGTGGGCACATGACCCACAAATCCTCTTCCAAGCTTGGAGAGGGTGAAGGGGTGGGATTTAGACAAACCTCAAATTCTTCATGTTCCCTTTGTAATGGACAGACCCGGCTTGTGGTCACCTTCATCTCCGTGTCTTGAAAATGCATCACCTTGTAGTAATGGCTGAAATTTGGTGGCAGTGCTACCTATGTCACGTGTCTCTTCTCATACCTTGAGCCTCAACACGAGGTTCTGTGAGCTGAGGACTAGTGATCCACGTTTATGTCCACAGCTAGCAAGGGGCAGGCTCAGGATATCTGCCCCCAAAGCCTCACTCCTGCCCATTCTGCCCTGTGTTCACACCTTGTTCTGTCAGGCATGACCCAGGCCAGCAGGAGCCGTAGCACCTGGGAGCTTGTTAGAAAGGCAGGCTCTTGACACCTCCTCAGATCTGGAGCAGAATCTGTATTTTATTTATTTATTTATTTATTTTTGAGACAGTTTTGCTCTGTTGCCCAGGCTGGAGTGCAGTGGCATGATCTGGGCTCACCGCAACCTCCGCCTCCCAGGTTCAAGCAATTCTCCTGCCTCAGCCTCCTGAGTAGCTGGGATTACAGGCACACACCACTACGCCTGGCTAATTTTTGTATTTTTTGTAGGGACAGGGTTTCACCAAATTGGCCAGGCTGGTCTTGAACTTCCAACCTCGGGAGATCCGCCCGCCTTGGCCTCCCAAAGTGCTGGAATTATAGGCATGAGCCACCATGCCCAGCCCGGAATCTGCATTTTAACGAGACTCTCAGGTAGCTCATAGGCACCTTGGAGTTAAGAGTCCTTATCTTTGCTCCTCCTCGAGGCTGTTTCCCTTCTGTCTCTTTCCCTGGCCCTGTTCCTCATAGATTTACTTAGTCATAAGCCTCAACGTGACAGTGAGCCAAAAAGCTTACCCCAGCTGACCAGCCTCAGGCTGCTAGTGGTATATTTTGTCTTTTTGGAAAAATGGTCTTCTGAGCCTGTAGCAGTGATGGGGGTGGGGGGGGCGGGCAACCCACAGGTGACCAAGTGAGCCCCACGCACCCAGAACAACGTCTGCTCTGCTTTCTAGCATGATCCTTCACAGGGGTCTGGCTCATGGGAATGGTTTGAGCTCTTGGCAGGCCCCAGGAAGGCAAGTGTGGTTATGCTCACTTTCTTTTTTTTTTTTTTTTTTTTTTGAGACGGAGTTTCGCTCTTGTTACCCAGGCTGGAGTGCAATGGCGCGATCTCGGCTCACCGCAGCCTCCGCCTCCTGGGTTCAAGCAATTCTCCTGCCTCAGCCTCCCTAGTAGCTGGGACTACAGGCGTGTGCCACCATGCCCAGCTAATTTTTGTATTTTTAGTAGAGACGGGGTTTTACCATGTTGACCAGGATGGTCTCGATCTCTTGACCTCATGATCCACCCGCTTCGGGCCTCCCAAAGTGCTGGGATTACAGGCGTGAGCCACCGCGCCCGGCTATGCTCACTTTCATCCAAAGTGGCACCTGGGCCTTCGGGGCCTTCTGACTCCAAACCAGTGCCTTTCCCTCTACCGCGCGGGCCTCTGTGCTGTCATCCAGAGACGGAAGGAGGGCTGTGGGGCTCAGGAGGCGGGGGCTGAGAGAGGGAACGGAGACCACTCAGGGTGAGAAGCTGCAGTGATGCCTTGTTAAGCGGAATGCCTTTAGCACAGATGTATCCAGAGCACCAAAGCTTTTAGGGGGCTTCAAATAGAGACTTATTTCACTTGTTCTTTACAAGAAAAATGACCAAAGTTAGGTATGTTCTTCCCTAAGCTTCCAAAGCTTGCTATGTGGGAGACTGCAGCCACCCGCCCCATGGTCCCTTCAGCGTGCTGCTTCCAGGACGGCCTCCAAGATGAGTGTCCCGATTCTGCACCTACCAGCCCCCTCTCCTCAGCCCTAGAACACTGGTACAATGGGTTAGAACTCTTAAAACCAGGCTGTTCTGCCCTGTGGCCCTGGGGGTGGAGTCAGGGAGCCACAGAGTTTCTGTGAATTCCAGCACCAGCAAACAAGGGGCAGCGTGGAGAAGTGGGCACTATGTCTGAGGGGTGAGTGAGGGGCTGGCATGGGCCCCCAGGGCAGAGAACAAATGGCAGAGCACCTCCTTGTCCTGAGAGGCTGGTGCGGAGTCGGGGTTTGGCCGCTGGGTCGCCCCAGCTGCTGCTGCTACCCTGGCAGCTTTCACTGTGCAAATTTCCCTCGGGTGGTTAAATCCAGAACCAGGGCTCTGCTCTGGGGAAGGGACCCTCCTCCACGTTCATCCCTCACCCCCACTTCCCACCCACCAGCCCAGATCACTGCAGCACCCATGGGCTGCCCCCACACCTGGAGGGCCACTGCCCCTGACTCCCAAAGACCCCATCCTTACTGGAGCCCCCAGTCTGGGCCAGCTTCCCCCCCAAATCCCCAAAGGTCATGCCCATTCTGTCTGCTAATCCTACGGCACAGCCCAATCCCACATTCTCCCTAAGACCAGATCGGCATCCACTCATTGCTCTGCGGGCTCCTCAGCTCATTGAAGTCCATTTAGAGCCATGAGTGACATCACACCTTGTGGTACCCCGAGCCCACACTCCTCAAAAGGCCGGGCGGCTCTGTCTCCCCACTCCTCCTCGGCTCAGAGCACGTGGCGCCCTCCATCCTCTCTCCAGAGCTTACCAGCGCCTCTGGGAGTCCTCCCACGCGACCCTGCAGGAGCTGCTGGACCAAGAGCAGCCCCTCCTCGAACCCGTGCCCGACCGGGAGCGGCAGACCTTCCAGTACAGGCTCGGGTCGCTCTACCTGCACTACCTGGGGCTGCTGCGCCGCTTCGACACCGTCTACGACCAGCTGGTGCAGCCGCAGAAGCGGCGGCTGGTGCGGCGCCTGCTGGACAGCGTGGCGGGGCGCGTGCTGGAGCTCAAGGACGAGCTGGTGCGCGCGGAACTGTGTGAGAACCACTGCCTGGACCTCGTGCTGCAAGATCTCAAGCTCACCCCGGTACGTGTGTGCGGCAGCGAAGCCAAGCCCACAGCCAGGTAGTGGGAGGGGAGAGGCGGGGCGGACCGGCCTTGACCACCTGGGACACAGAGCCATGCCCCCGACAGCTTGGGGTCGGGTGGGGCCGACCACCCCCTGCCTACCCCTCACTCCGTGGATATTCCTGGTGTTGGGACACCTGCTAGGGAAGGAAGGAGGGCAAAGAAGATCAGAGGATGGGCTTTGACCTTGCAGAGAGGGATTTGGGAAGGGGCTGGGTGCATGAGGTACTTGGGAGTTGGATGGAGTCAGGGTGAGATCCCCTGAATGACTGGGAAGACCCATGAACTGCAGGAGATTGTGAGGAGAGTCCTCTAGAGGCTCCTCAAAGTGTGGTCCCTGGACCAGCAGCATTGACATCTCAAATGAGAAACTGCATCCCTAACCCAGTAAATCTTCACTGGCGTTTTATCAAGACCCTCCAGTGATCTGTGTGCCCGAGCAAGTTCTAGAAGGCTGTTGTAGAGCGCAGAGCTTTGGTGGGGCCTCCAGTCTGGCCCTAAGCTCAGGGTACAGTAACTGCTTCATATCCAGGACTATCTCAGAGTTTTCCCCAATCAGCCGCAGCAGTGCACTTGGGGGGTGGGGGGGGAAAGATTCTGTAGGCCCTGCCATTCTGATGTAGTAGTCTGGGGAGAACCTAGGAATCTGCATTTAAGAGTTTCCCAGTTGATTCTGATACACAACCAGGTTTGAGACCACTACCACCTACCACAATCCTCCAGAATTCAACCGCAGCCAGATGATGGGGGTAAAAGAGAGGAATGACTCTTGGGGGCATCTGCCCATTACCCTTTCAGTTTCCTACCCCAGGACTCTAAAATGGAAGAAAACAGCACGGGGGGGTGTGTCAGCAGCTGAAAATGGTAATAGATTGGCCAGACGGCCCAGACTTTTGATTTCGGACCCTCCTCCCCCAACATTCCCCCAAAGGCTGACCTAGAGGTTCCAATCCCCAAATACTTCCTGCTGGAGCAGTCCACTGCTATGCGGGAGCAAAGGCTGATGCTGGCTGAGATCCTGTCCAGACTGGAGCCAGTGTCCTCCCGGAAGGTAAACAGGGGTGACACCCTCCCAGATACTTCCATTCCCCTTCTCCTGAAAGCCTCCAGAATGCAGAGGCCCCTCCGTGCCCTATACCAGAGCGCCCTTTAGGTAATCCCTGGCCTTCTTCAAGGCTGTTCTTGTGCTCATAGTAACCTTCTAATGCCAAGAGACTTGGGCTCCCAAATACTCTGGGAGGATGGTGCCCTGGTGCATCCTTTGGTGGCTGGTCTCCCAGCAGCCCACCCTGGATGCAAGCTCTCCCTCGTACTCATGCTGTTTTGCCCCTGTTCTGGCCAGAGCTTTACAGGAATGCACCGGACTGAGGCCATAATTCTAATACAAAGGGCAGAGCGGGCCAGGCAAGGGCGGCTTCGAGCCACCTTCATGCAAGAGATTCGAAGAGATGAGGAGCGGGATCGGAGGATTCGGGAGGACGGACGGCACAAGTTCAGTCGGGGCCAAGCAGCTGTCACCATACAGAAGGTGATCCTAGGTGCCCAGGAGGAGGGCCAGGGCAGTCACCTCATTCAGGAAGCCTGCTGGGCTCAGCAATTGATGACAGGACTGCAGGTGCTTGGATTCTGTAGCTCCACAGCTAGATATTTTTTCTTTTCTTTTTTTAAAATTTTATTTATTTATTTATTTTTGGAGATGGAGTCTTGCTCTGTCGCCCGGGCTGAAGTGCAGTGGCATGATCTCAGCAACCTCTGCCTCCTGGGTTCAAGCGATTCTCATGCTTTAGCCTCCTGAGTAGATGGAACTACAGTCTTTTGCCAATACGCCCAGCTAATTTTTGCATTTTTAATATAGATGGGTTTCACCATGTTGGCCAGGCTGGTCTCAAACTCCCGACCTCAAGTGATCTACCCATCTCAGCCTCCCAAAGTGCTGGGATTACAGGCGTGAGCCACAACGCCCAGTCTCCACAACTAGATTCTAAACCAGTCAGTACTTTAATCAGTCAGTAAGCATGTATCTTTCTTGTTTGTTATTTAATCCACATCTCTATTCTCAAAAGGATACCTTAAAAGGATACCCAGAAACAGAAGGATCACTAAAATTAGGGAAGAAAAGTCCATAATAGAGTAGCAGAACAGGCCAGGCACGGTGGCTCATGTCTGTAATCTGAGCATTTTGGGGGCTGAGGCAGGCACAAGTTCAGGAATTTGAGACCAGCCTGACCAACAGGGTAAAACCCCATCTCTATTAGAAATACAAAAATAAGCTGGGCATGGTGGCACGTGCCTGTAATCCCAGCTACTCAGGAGGCTGAGGCAGAAGAATTGCTTGAACCCAGGAAGCAGAGGTTGCAGTGAGCCCAGATCATGCCACTGTACTCCAGCCTGGGTGACAGAGCACAACTCTGTCTCTAACAAAAAAAAAAAAAAAAAAAGAGAGAGAGTATCAGAACAGAATAGATGATCACTCCAGAAACTCTTAAGACTGTTGAAAAGTGAGCCACTAAAATGTATCCTGCTGAGGCTGGAGTATTGCTTGACCCCTGAGTAACATAGCAAGACCCCATCTCTTAAAACAAAAAAGGATCCTGAGCCTCCCAGAAACTAAGATGGAGGGAAACTGGATCATGATGAATTAATTTGATAACTGATGTGATCTAAGCACCCCCAAGCTCTTTGCCTCTGGGTCACAGTTTAACACGGAAATAACGTAATTTCCATAATTTTACCCCTGTCTCACTTCACTGCAGAAAGCCCTTCTCTGCCCTAAGGGTCACCGAGCATTCTTGCCATCCTGGTTGTCACACCTCTCCCTTGCTCCGGGCAGCCACTCTGCACCTCTCTGGGTCAGCCTCTGCTGTCTGCCTTGGTGTGCGATCATGGCCTCTCCCACCATTCCTTAAAATTCTGCTAACACAGGTGGACTCCTGGTAGTAGTGGTTAACAGCTTGACCAGAGACTGGAGGAGCCCTGGGAAAATTCCAGTGCAGGAACAGAAAGTGGTCTGTGGTGTCGCTGCCCCTAAGGCCACCCTGTCACGGGAGCCTCTTGCCACCGTTTCTTTCCAGGAACTGCTGACCTGGGGTGGGCCCTCTTTCTCTCTCAAATCAATCTCCCCTCCTGTCCTCTCTCTCTCAAGTCCCAATACCTCAAACATTTCTGCCTCCTAGCCTACTAGAGAAAACTTAGAACTCCTTCCCACCAAAAGACAAAAGCTGGCAACCAACTAACAAACAATAGTGATTCTGTGAAGACGAATCCTCTGCCAATGGGTTAGATTTGTGTGCATTACTAATCAGTACGCTGAGCATGCCTGTCTGAGCCAGGATGACTTTACCAGTGTCTGAGAAGGACGTTTGACAGGAGGGCTCACTAAATCAAAAACTGAAAAAGGAGGCTGGACCCCAAAGTTGGGTCCCACTTTCCCTAGAGGCCAAAGCAGGTCATTTTGTGCCTGTTGCCAGACATCAAGAGTACAGAAATATTGTGTGCTAGTCTTAGAGTCACTCGGAGCTCTGACAAAAGGAAAAAATGTATAAAGGACCTAGTCATGGCGGGCCTGGCCTGTGCTGGTCATGGGAGTGGGAGGATGGAGGCCAGATGAAAAGTGCAGGAACCAGTCTCTGCTCCTAGAGGTGCCATGAGGCAGACAGTGAGCACTGTCTGGCCTGGGCCCTGGCTCTGCCTTCCTCTGCCCAACGTCCCCACCTTCCGGCCCCACTCGGTGATCCTGGAGTCTGAAAGTGGCTGGGCTGGGAGATAGAGCACGGGTCCATCTCTGCACAGATGAGGTCTTGGGCCTGGGTGAGGTCATGTCCAGTCTCTGGCCTCAGTTATCTTGGGTCAAAAATGTAGGATCAACTTGAGGAGCTCCACAGTCCCTACAGCGCCGATGTCCATGTGCCTGGGTGGAATCAAATATTGATTTCAATTGCTCTGGGGATTCTGGGGAGTGGTGTAGGGTGCTTGAGCTCTGATCTGTCCCTCAAAAGAGACAGCAGATTAGGGTGGAGAGGAGAAGGAGGGAATCCCTGGGGGGCCCTGGGATGCTGGCTTGAGTGCCTACCTGAAATCACTCTTCCAGGCTGCTCCTGCTCAGTGTGCCCCTGAGCAACTTCCCCAGGGCTCCTCCCACCCCACCCGAAATCTCCTCTAGCATGACCCTCTCAGAGACCGGCTTCTGCAGGGTGGAGAGTGTGTGTCCCATGTGCCCCTTCCTCCCTCCGCCAGGTGTGGAAAGGTTACCTACAGAGGAGACGCACTCGGCAGGACCGGCAGACAGAGATGGAGTTCATTGGCATGGTGAGCCCAACCTGGCCACCATGGTGGGGCCTGGAACACAGAGCTGGCCAGGGTAGGGCCCCCACTCCAGAGCACAGTCTTCTTTTGGACCCACATTGCCCATGGTGCTCTCCACTCAGGTCAGGCTGGGAGCCTGGGAGAGAAAGATGCAGAAGGACAGGAAAGCCCCTAGGCCATATGCCTTCACACCCTTCATCCTGTAGAGATCAGCCCCTGGCAGCAGCTCACCTGTGGGGCCGGCGAGGGGTACTGTGCAGAGCATCCTGGACCCCACATTCCCACCCCCAGCTGGAAGGAGGGGCTGCAGGGGTGGGCCCCCAGAGGGAGGAGGCCACAAAGCCAGCAGGAACACCCACACTGCACCGCCCCCCCCCAAGCCTCTGGTAGCCACAGGGAAACACCAGGGGCTGTGTCGGGGTGGGGACACACTCCCCAAACCAGGGCTTCCCAGGCGGCGTGCCTGTGTGTAGACGTGTGTCTGCAGCCAGTAGGCCTGGCTCCTTGAGTCTGTCTGTCCCCTGTTCTCTGTCTTCTTGCCCAGCTGGTCTCCACTGACTTAGGAAAAGGCAGGCCAAGATTGGAGGGGTGTCGGGGGCCTGCTCCCTGGGGGAGGGGCTTTGCCCTGGGCGGATCCGGTGGAGGCCTAGCTGCCAGAGGGGGCTGTGGAGGGAGCTGCAGCGGGGGCTGGGCTGGGGATTGGAGGGATTGGAGGGAAGGGAGCCTTCCCAGGGCTGGTGACATCTTGCAGGCTGAGAGGCCACCACTGGAGGCTTGGGTCCTTGGGAGGAGGAGGGGGCCAGGGGCTACTATGTGGGAGTGGGGGTCAGAGACTTGTTGTGGGGCCAGAGGGCTGGACCCCCAGGAGATGAAAGCAGGCTGAAAGAGGCAGGGGTTGGCTTCAGCAGGGAGGGGTCTGCGTGCGGCAGTGGGTGAGGAATGAGCCTGGCCGCCCGGGCCTATCAACAGTGTGAGCTCAGCGTTTTCAGTAATTGTCTCTGCGCAGAGTGATATTTAAAATACATTTGGGAGCCAATGAGGCGGGAAAGTGGCTGCGAGAGCGGCTGCCAACTCGGGCCGCGGGGCGGGGGGTGTTGGCGGGGGTTGGGGCCGCAGGCTCCAGGGGAGGGTGTGCTAGGGAAATCGGGCAGGGGCCAGTCCTGATGCATCTAGCAAACTCATTATTAGAGTAATTTACACAGATGAATTCGGCTCCGAACACAGTTGCTCCCGATGCAGGCATGCCCGTTGTTCTGTGCGGGTGTGTACGCACGAGGCCTTGCATGAGCATCGTGTCGGGGAAGGAGCGGGTACAGATGTCTGTGCCCGAGGCTGGGGGCTGCATCCAGACTGGATTCTGGCTCCTCCCACTCCCACTCCTGAGCCCCTCAGCCTCTCTTCCACTCCCCCAGCTCCCCTCACCCAACCAGGTAGAGCACCTGAGCGTCATCTCCCAGGCCTGCCGAGGGGAGGATGGCCGGAGGCTCCGCCAGACGGAGAAGGAGGAGGAGTTCCAGGCGGCGATGGTGAAGACCCATGATTCTCTCGCAGAGACAGAGGGGCCTGACATGAAGGAGAAAATGAAGGAGCAAATCCGACAGTGGTTTATCGAGTGCCAGTCAGTGTCCTCAGCTGACCCTACCCTCAGTCCTTCGTTCCTTTCTCTTAGCGTCCCTCAGGGCTTCTCGTGCCCCATCCCCGCGACATGAGTTCTGCCTTCTAGTCCAGATCGGCCCTTTTCTCCTCTACCTCTAGGTCCCCAACACACTGCTGACCCTCTTGGTTTCAACCTTGGGGCCCCAACTTACAGGACCATTTCCACAGATGACTTCCCATTTCCACAAGGGAGAGAAAGTGCCAGGATAGGGTGGGGAGAGCACCCATGGATGCCCCTTGAGTGATCTGTCCTGTTGGGAACAATCCATCCCTCCCTTCTCTCCCTCCATCTCCCTGGTCCTTTTTTTTTCTCTGGCGTTCTCCATCCATCCACCCACCCTTCTGTCCATCTCTCTATCTACCTATCCATCCATTTGTCATTCATCCACCCACCCACCCCTCTACCCACCTCTCCATCTATCCATCCACCTGTCCACCCACTCACCCTTCTACTCACCTCTCCACCTATCCATCCATCTGTCTATCCACCCACCCTTCTACCCACCTCTCCATCCATCCATCCGTCCACCCACTCACCCTTCTACCCACCTCTCCATCCATCCATCTGTCCACCCACCCACCCTTCTATGAACCTCTCCATTTATCCATCCATCTGTCCACCCACCCATCCTTCTACCCACCGCTCCATCTATCCATCCGTCCGTCTACTCACCCACCCTTCTACCCCCCTCTCCACCTATCCATCCATCTGTCCACCCACCCACCCTTTTACCATCTATCCATCCATCCATCGATCTATCCATCTATCCATCTCTCCATCTACCCATCCATCCCTCTACCCACCCACCCTTCTACCCCCCTCTCCATCTATCCATCCATCTGTCCATCCACCCACCCTTTTACCCCTCTCTCCATCTGTCCATCCATCTGTCCATCCAACCACCCTTCTACCCCCCTCTCCACCCATCCATCTGTCCATCCACCCACCCCTCTACCCACCTCTCCATCTATCCATCTGTCCATCTATCGACCCACCCTTCTACCCACGTCTCCATCTATCTGTCCATCCACCTACCATCCTTCCAGCCACCTCTCCATCTCCCCATTCATCCATCCATCTGTCCACCTAACCACCCACCCTTCTACCCACCTCTCCATCTGCCCACCTACCTGCCCATTCTTCTACCCACCTCTCCATCTATCCATCCAGGCATCCACCCATCTACCCAACCACCTTTCTGTTCACCTCTCCATCTGTCTATCCATCTGTCCACCTACCCATCCACCCTTCTGCCCACCTCTCTGTCTACCTATCCATTCATCTGTCCATCCATTCATTCATCTTTCTGTCCAATCATTTTATGTTCACTTAGTGACCTTACTGGCCGGTTCCCTGATTATCCAGATGAATCTTTAGGTGGATCCTACCTGATCTTTGCAGACAAAACTCCAGAACAGGTACCTGGCTGGAGGAAGGACAGGGGGTTTTCTGTGGCAGGTGGAGCCAGAGGCTACAGAGAATACTGAGTGGGATGGGCTGGAGTTGGGGATCAGCTTCAATGGAGGCAGAGGTGGCTAGGGGAAATGCAGCGAGAAAGACAGCATGTGGAAGAGGAGCAAGGAGCAGCTGTGGCCAGAGCAGGCACTGTGGAGGGGAAAGGAAGGATGTCCAGGGAGACTGTGGTGGCTCCAGATTCCCATGGCCCAGAAGAGAAGAGTGGCTCTGACCAGAATGCTCCTTTTTGGGCATTTCTCACTGGGCCCTGATGGAGTCTCTGCATGCTCAGCTGTCCCAACCCCATCAGTTACTCTAGGCCTAGGGAATCCTTGGTCCACCCTAGTCTCAGGCCCTGGGTTCTCTTCTGTAACATCCCCCTGACCTTCTCTGAAATGTCTTGTGTCATTGGTCACAGGTGAGAATGGAACTAGAGATGCAGGTCCAAGAGAACAAAAAAAGAGAAAAAGAGAAGAGCAAGGAAGAAGAAAAGGATGAAAAAGAGAAGAAGAAAGGAAAGGAAGAAAAGGGGAAGAAGCGGGTAAGACACCTTCCGGATGCATGGTTTGGGGGACTCATGGTAGGAAGATGGGTCCCGGTAAGATTAGGGCCAGAGTCTGTGCTAGGCAGAGGTAATGAAGTCAAGGTCAAGGATGTTTCTGTTCTAGGAGGTAGAGGCGGTGCTGCAAGTATTGCCATCCAAATGTATCCCTATGATCAGCGCCGGGCATGAGGAATACTTAAGTAAGAGGGGAGACGGCTGGGGAGGAGTGTCTGCGCCTTGTGTGCCCTGGGGCCCTGGGTCCTGGAGAAAGTGGGCATCTGCCACATGGCCCATGAGGTGGCAGTGTGGGTGTGTGGGTAAAGGGGACAACACCAAATGGGGAGAGGGAGGGGTCTGGTATTTTTTGGCTGGGGGTGTTATGGGTTTGGGTCTGAATCCTGCCGTCACAGGCCTTGGTGTCAACTCTGTCTGCTGTCTGGGTAGAAGCAGTGCCAGGCTGGTGGGTGGGGACAGGGCAACTGGCCAGGGCCCAGCTCCTGACCTGTGTGCACACATGTGTCTCTGTATGTGTGCATGTGTGTGTGCACACATGTAGGCATGTGTGTGTACACCTGGGACTCTGACCTTCACACATGCATCCATTCTCTGTGATCAGACCTATGGAAGAACCGGTGTGAGGGCATACATCCCAGTCAGAATTATGACTCTGAGACCCTCCGGGAGGAGAAGAGGAAGGAGGTGGAGCTGGAGATCCGGATACAGGTGAGAGCGAGGGGTCAGGGCTTCCCTGCAGGCCACTACCCTGCACCTTCTCCCATGCCCCGCACTTCCAGCCAGGATTCGGGCTCCTCCCCACCCATTTCTCGGCCTCTCTCATGTCCTGAACCCCCAACTCCAGTCCCCAGCTCATCCTTTGTAGACTTCACTGCCTTGATGTGTGGTCCTAGCTCCACCTGCTGCCCACATCAGTTCCCACCTTCCTCTGCCTCCCCCGGTCCTGCTTTCTCCCAGGGCTGAAGCAGCAAGGGAGTGGGGTATAGGAGGGGCTTGAAGCCAGGGTATCCACACCCCACCACCATCCTCAGGAACCCTCTGATGATGCATCCCACCCATGCCATGGGCTTCAGGAGTGTTCAATCATATCTTTCACACAACCCATGGTTTTCCTGATGGTACACATGGGAAAGTGAGGCTAACAGGTTACGTAACCGTTCAGGTCACAGAGACCTCAGGGGTGGGTCTTGGGCTTGAACTCCATCTGGAGGCTTCTCCCCACATTGAAGGCTGTTAGGAGCAGGGCTCTTGGGGAGCAGGAAGAGGATTATGACTGAATGTGAACAGGTGCCAGGAGGGAGAGAGGAACACAGAGTAACATGTGGGAAGGCACCAGGGCTGTCCCCACTGCTTTCCTCAGGCTCACTGGGCTCTTCTGTAAGGCTCCTCCCCATCCCTGCCTGCCTGCTCCTCTCCCACCTGTCCTCCCAGCCCCAGGCCACCCTGCCACACCTCTGCTGTCTCCCCTAGGTGGATGAACTGATGCGTCAGGAGCTGAGAAACCTCCGTCTGGCTGTGGACAAGGAGGAGGAAAGACAAGCCTTGAGGGCTCCAAAGGCAAGATCAGGGGCTGGGGCTGGGCAGGGGAGGGCACATGGGGAGGTAAGGAACAGGGTACAGTGACCTATGTGCTTGTTTCCAACCAGAAAACACCTGGGAAGAAACGTGGGATAAAGAAGAAGGAAAAAGATCTGACCCCAGACAGGTAGCAGGCCCTGTGGTGCCTACTTTGCATGTGGTGGTGGTGGAGCAAGTCCCAGTCCACCTGCCCATGCACCCACCCACCCAGCAGTAGCAGGTCCTGGCTCTGCCGCTGAGAGACCGTGGTAAAGTCCCTTTCCCTCTCCGACTCCCTGGCCTTGTTCACCAAATACCTGCCCTGCCAAACTCAATATAGCTGTGGGGATCAAGTAAAGGCATGTGGGATGCAGAGTAAGATGTCAAATGCAGTTTCTAAACAGGTCATTGCTCCACACTTCCAGATCCTCCCTCCAACCTTTGCCTTAACAAGATATCTCTGCCAAAGCCATTTCCCCCTGGACTTCCCGCTCTGGGACATTAAGGGACTCATCAGCAGTCCCTTCCTGCTGACTTGTCTGGTAAAGAGAGCTCACAAGCTCCTTGATGTCAGCTGCTTTAATTTAATGACTGTCTGTCCCAGGAGCACTCACATCTTAAATGTGGTTTCTAAGAAGAGGGCAATGTTTCACTCAAATGACTGGATTTCTAATGGTGAACCTTTGGGCAGGGGGCAGACTGATGGGTGTCACAGAGGCTCCTGTACTCTTCACGCCCCTCTCACAGAGCACCCACTGCGGGAGGCTTGCCTCCTGGGACGGTGACTTGGTGCCACTCCTGGTTCTGCCTGTCTGCAGGGACTGTGGATATTTTTGACCAGAATGTTTGTCATGAGAACCACTGATCCCCTGTCTTCATGACAACAGTCCCCCATCTCTGTCACCATTTTCCATGTGTTGTCACTTGCTGACATCCCTGGGGGGGCATCCTCCTGTGCCATCCTCTGCCAGGACTGTGGAGTCTCTGTATGAAGAGCTTGTTATTGCTGGCCTTATAAGGAAGAGCGAGTCAGTGGCATTGAAAGACTACATAGGTGAGACCCCTCCCACAATGCCTGTTCTCAGTCTATAGCCGGGTGCCAAGGCTCCTCTATGCCCTGCCTACCAGCCACACCTTTCCTGTGGCTGATTACCCGATCGCCACTCGGAGAGGGTACCTGTCGCTCAGTGGCTACCTGTTGCCACAGGTGACTGCCTCTATCTTGGATCCACTCTGAGTTTGGCAAAGAAGTTGCCCATGCCCTCTCTGTTTGACATACGACAGAACGTGGCCTTGTATGCTGTCCTTCGGCTTGGTGAGAGGCCCTGGGGGTGTGAGGAGCCAGCTCTGGGCAGGCAGCCCTCGGGGTAAGGGCTGGGGTCAGGGTAGGGTGGCTGAGGTGGGCACGTCCAGCCTGGGCCTCCAAGCCCCAGGTGCTCCTGCCCTGTCCAGGCCCTGCTGGAGCTCACACCAAGATTGGGCCACCCCAGAAATCATGTGGGCCCTTGACCTGCTGAGGATCCATACTGCCAGCCCTTAGTCAATCGTGAGGGACAACCCAGGGTCTGTCCTGCTCCTAGAAGACCAGCCCTACACCTGCTGAGCTGAGCTGAAAAGCTTTCTGAAGCGGTTTATTCCATGACTTCTTCTATTTTTCTTTTTTTTTTGGTGGCAACAGAATCTTATTCTGTTGCCCAGGCTGGAGTGTAATGGGGCAATCTCAGCTCACTGCAACTTCCGCCTCCTGCGTCTCGTGCCTTTCAATTCCACCATGTCATAATCCAGGAGTGGAAGCGCATGGAGTGGAAAACGGCATTGGCTGGGGTAGCAGGCTCCCTCCCAGCACCATGTACACTCTTCATGCTGGAGACTGCTAAACCATTCAAAATCTCCTGCTGCAACTCCTGGCTCCCAGGCCTAGGGGACTAGGGGATCTGCTGGTGTTGGGGAAGGTAGAATGCCATGATTTGCACCTCCTCCCCCAGCCCCAGCCCCAGCCCCTTGGCCTGACCTTACACAGAGTTAAGTCGTTAACTCCAGCCCTGACTCCTGCTGCTGATCCGTCATCTGTCTCTGGCCCATTTTCTTGCTCTTAGGCTCCCGGGATATCCACACCATGGCCCCGCTCATCCGCTCCATCCTCCTGGTGGGCCCCTCTGGCATGGGGAAGAAGATGCTGGTCAAGGCGGTGTGCACAGAAACTGGCGCCAACCTGTTCGACCTGTCCCCTGACAACCTGCTGGGCAAATATCCTGGCAGGAACGGGGCACAGATGATGGTGCATATAGTCTTTAAGGTCTGGAGCCCCCAGCTTTTGGTCTTTCTGGTTCTCAGACCTGTGGCAACAGAGGAGGGTGGGCTCTATGCCTAAGAGGTCACCCATCAGCCTACTGGGTGTGATTTCAGGCGCTGAACTGGTGAGATCTCCCTACCAACCTGGGCTAGGAGCTTGGGTTTCCCCTGCAGTCCCTATGGTGGGGGAATGAAGAAAAAGGGGAGGAAACAGAGCAGTTCCTTTTCATGGGCTTAATATGCAGTAGGATGAGGTTTAATATGCATCCCCCCCATGGGGGGGCAGTGACTCAGTTTACCCTGAGGTATGAGGTGTGTGCAGCAGCAGGCTGGGGGTGGGGCTGGCAGGTGTAGGGAGTGGAGACTGGTCTCTAAGGTCAGCCCCTGCCCAAGGCCGGCCCTCATCCTGGCTTCTGACCAGCAGGGACATGACCCTTCTCCAGGGCCATCTAACATCTGATTTTTATTCTCTGACCCATCCAGGTAGCCCGGCTCCTACAGCCCTCTGTGATTTGGATTGGAAATGCTGAGAAGAATTTCTATAAGAAGATCCCCAAAGAAGACAGGGAGGTGAGGGAGCGTGCGCAGGAAAGCTGTGTGGCCGGTGGCATGAGCTGGGGCGCGCTGGAAGGCCTGGGCTTGTTCAGGTCACTCCAAACCTCACCCACGGGGGCCTGGCACATGTCCCCTCTACTCCTTACACCTAGTTTCCTTGTGTCAGAGCAAGACGGGCAGCCTCCTCACACCACTAGGGCTGAGGTGAGGCTGAGGGCAAGGCATGTGCTCTGAGAACTTGGGAGCCCCGTACGCTGGGCCACTGTGCCCCAGCCCCACCACTCCCGCCGCCTCCCCGGAGCAGATAGACCCAAAGCGGATAAAGAAGGACCTCACCAAGGCCTTGCGGCTGCTGACTCCCGGAGACCGTGTGATGCTGATTGGGACAACCTCCCGGCCGCAGCTGGCTGAGATACGGGGGCTGTGCCGGGTCTATGAGCGGATCCTTCTCATGCCCAGGCCTGACTACGCATCCCGCTATGGTGAGGCCTGGGGACTCAGGGCTGGCTGCTCCTCCCAAAGCCTGCCCACTTCTCTCCCCTCCCCCACTGCTGCTGCAAGCCCTCACCCCACAGCCAGGTCTTCTGGAAGGGCTGCTAGACAAGCAGTCCAGTGGCCTGGGTCCTGGCTTCGGCTCTGTGGACACAAGCAGGTGGCTTATGTCCTCCGAGTCTCCATATCCTCAGGTTGAGTTGGGAGGAAGACCCTTGCCTCGCCTGAGATCTGGTACCTCCTCAGGGGAAGGGGAGCTGATAACATGGAGCTGCCCCTCAGAGCACAAAGCTCCTTCTAGATCCAGGCGGGGGCTGCTCAGGCCTTGTTGTCTCTCCCTGGTGCCCACTGCCCCTCCAAGCCCCATGTGTTCCACGTGCCTGCAGTGCTCTGGAAGCGTATGATAGAGGCCCAGGGCATCCAGCCAACCCAGCGCCTGGACATCAGTGCCCTGGCCAAGGTCTCCGATGGCTACACACCGGGTCACATTCTCCAAGCCATTCAGTCGGTGCTGAGTGAGCGGCGGTTCCTGCAACTGTCCAAGCGGCCCCTGGTGGCCTCCGAGTTCCTGGGACAGCTGTCGAAGCTGGATCCAGTGTACAGGGAGGAGGAGGAGTCCCTGAAGGTGAGGCAGCCGGGGCAGGGGCTGTGGGTGAGCAGCGCCTTTGGGGAGTCAGGCCCCCCAAAACACACCTCTTACCCCTCCCCTCCCTCTGGTAATTTGTAACTCCCACAAATTACCAGAAAACAATTCGTGGAAGTGTTTGTGGAGCTCAGCTGGGAAGGGAGCATGAAATCACCAGGAAATGCCAAGGCTTTGGGGCTTTCCTACCTGGTTTCCCTGAGGGTGGGAGCTCAAAAGGGCCACCAAGGTATCAGGAGCCCTTGGTGGGTTCTGACAGCAGCTGGCACCCACCTTTCCTACCCCTGAGTCAGTGCCCACCCAAGGATGGCCTTGGGAGCACAGGAGAGAGGGCTGCAGGTGTGGAGGGAGGAGGGCTTGTCCCCTGAGAATGGCTGACATCATGCCTAAAGCACTTGGTGGGGAGCAAGGGAAACCTCAGCTCTAGTAGGACCTCCAAACCCTGGGCAAGAGAAGAGGCTGCTGAAGAAAGGGGAGGGCTGAGGTCAGGATGGGTCCAAGGGCCTTACCACTCCTGTACCCATCAACCCAGGACTGGTACTTCAAGACCCCATTGGGCAAGAAGAACATGAAACACAGGATGGACCAGTTGGAGGCTGAGGAGGCCAAGCTGGCCAAGGAGAAGAAGAAAAGGAAGTGATGGCTGAGGCCTGCGGGCACCTGAGATTAGTGGGGCGGGACAGGGTAGTGGCCCGGGGTAAAGGGATGGGGCAGAGGCATAAATGCCCAGATGACTTGGGGACAGACTCTCCTTGTCCATCCATATCTGTGTCTTCCCACCCTTCCTTCTGTGCCCCGACCTGTGCCTGCCACCATCTGGCACCCACCTCTCTCCTGGGCCCTGGCCCTCGCCAGCTCACTGCCACGTCCCTGCTCTGGCTCCTTCATCCCTGTCCTCAGCCCCACTTCTAGGTCTTCAATTCCTTGTCATTGTCCTATCCTGGCTCCCTGACTCTCTTCCTCCTCAAAGTATTTAAGGGAGAAAAAATAGGAAGAGGAGAGGCGGGAGAAGGAAGGTCTGAGTCAGTACAGAAAAAGAAAACATGCAAGTCTAGAAGTTAACTGTCCCTGGTTCTGACCCCACTTGGCACTAACTTCCTGTGTGACCCGGAGAGTTCTTTCCTGTCTCTGGGGCTCAGTTTCCTTACTTATAAAGTGAAGAGAGATTGGACCAGGAATTTCTAAGGTCCCTTCTACTCTAGGGTTTGACTATTCTAGCAAAATGTCTGGGAAGTCTGGGCGGTGAGGGTGCTTGGGCAGCGGGGGGCAGTGGGATGGGGAGGAAGCCTCAGCAATGGTGTGGGGAAGTGGTGGGGCTTTGTGATCAGGGCAAGGGCTGCCTGGTAGACCCAATGCTTCGGTGGACATGGAAGTGCAGCATTGGCTAGACCCAATTTCTCTGGGTGGCCTTCATTTCTTTTCTCTAAAGATCCCTCCCCTGGCACCCTGCCTGCCCCAGCTCTGTACTGTGTTCTCTGACCACACCCTAACCTTCTGTGCTCAATGGGATAGAGCCTCCTGCCCCTGGGGTGGGAGTCCATATGTGGGTTTCCCCTTGCTGGGGAGGGAGCAGCTCAGCGGTGAGTGGGGTCAGAGAACTTAGGGAGCAGGGGCAACCATACCAAGGGCTGGGGAGCCCCAGGGTGTTCTCTTGGAAGAGGCAGATCCATGGACCATGTACAGAGTGTGTGGATGAGGCCAAGGTGTGTTCACAGGTAGTGAGAGACAATGGGAAACCTGAAACTATAAAACCACTAAAAGGAAACGGGAAAGCTCCATGATATTGGTCTGGGTAGAGATTTCTTGGATATGACCCAAAAGCACAGGCAATGAAAGCAAAACTAGACAAATGGGATTGCACCAAACTAAAAGGTTTCTGCACAACAAAGGAAAGGACAGAGTGAAGAGACAATCCAGATTGGGAAAAAATATTTGCAAATCAAACATCGGATAAGAGGGTGAATATCCAAAATACACAAGGAACTCAAACTACCTCAATAGCAAGAAAACAATTCTATTAAAAAATGGACAAATGACTTGAATAGATATTTCTCAAAAGAAGACACACAAGCCGGGCGCGGTGGCTCAAGCCTGTAATCCCAGCACTTTGGGAGGCCGAGGCGGGTGGATCACGAGGTCAAGAGATTGAGACCATCCTGGTCAACAAGGTGAAACCCCGTCTCTACTAAAAATACAAAAAAAAAGTTAGCTGGGCATGGTTGTGTGTGCCTGTAATCCCAGCTACTCAGGAGGCTGAGACAGGAGAATTGCCTGAACCCAGGAGGCGGAGGTTGCGGTGAGCCGAGATCGCACCATTGCACTCCAGCCTGGGTAACAAGAGTGAAACTCCGTCTCAAAAAAAAAAAAAAAAAAAAAAAAAAAAAAAAGAAGAAGACACACACAAATGGCCAACAGATAACTGGAAATATGTTCAACATCATTAATCATCAGAGAAATGTGAATCTAAAACCACAATGAGATATTATCTCATGTCTGTTAGACTGCCTATTATTGAGAAGGGAACTCTGTGTGCTGTTGCTGGTGTTGTAAATTAGTACCATTTTGAAAAATAAAATGAAGGTTCCTCAAAAAAATAAAAATAGAATTACCTTATGATCCAGCAATCCCAGTACTGGGTATATACCCAAAGGAATATGAAGTCAGAGTGCAGAAGCGATGTCTGTAGCCCCGTGTCCACCACGGCACTACTCACAATCGCCGTGACTTGGGAACAAGTTGTGTCCGTCAGTGGATGAATGGATTTTTAAATGCGGTGTATCTGGAGGGCATTATGCTAAGTGAAATAAGCCAGGTGTGGAAAGACACATACCGCATGAGCTTGCTTATTGTGGAATCCAAAAATGTCAAACTCCTAAAAGTAAAGAGTAGAATGGTGATTCCCAGAGGCTGGGGGCTCTGGGGTAGTGGACAGGGAAAGGAGAGACATTGGTCAGTGGGTACGATGTTACAGGTAGATAGGATAAGTTCAGCTGTTCCATTGCACAGCAAGATGACTATACTGAATAATGATGTATATTTCAAAATAGCTAAAAAAGGATTTTATTGATTGATTGATTGAGACAGAGTCTTGCTCCGTCACCCAGGCTGGAATGCAGTGGAGCGATCTTGGCTCACTGCAACCTCTGCCACCCGGGTTCAAGCAATTCTCTTGCCTCAGCCTCCCGAGTAGCTGGGATTACAGGCAGCCACTAATTTTTATATTTTTAGTAGAGATGGGTTTTCACCATGTTGGTCAGGCTGGTCTGGAACTCCTGACCTCATGATCCACCCTCCTTGGCCTCCCAAAGTGCTGGGATTACAGGCGTGAGCCACCATGCCCAGGCTTTAAGAGAGGATTTTAAATGTTTTCACCACAAAGAAATGGTAAATATCGTTTGATAAGTGTGCTAATTACCCTGATATGATTATATATTATATACATGTATCAAAATATATCCCATAAATACATACAATTATTGGTCAATTAAAAATTAAACTTAAAAAGGCAATCAATTACAAAATTTTTTTGGTGCAGAATGTATTCAGGGTAAAATATAAAATAAAGAAAAAAAAATTTTAAGCCAGTGTGAGCCAAAGGGGCAAGACCACTGGGGGTGCAGCACCCCGAAGCCCACAGTGGGCAGTGGTGGGTCAGAGCTGAGCCTGGGCACTTGGTTTCACATTTTCTTCCTCCCTTTTTTCTTTTTGATCCACCCGTACCCCAAACAAAAGTCAGTGCCTGAGTAGACAGAGACACTTTTCCTTTCTCACTTTCTAGTGGAGACCCCATGTTACCACAGTAAAAGAGAGATGTCACCCGAGGTAGTGGTCATCCAGGGAGATTGGGGGTCAGCATTAAGGGCAGGCATGGGAGTTTCTGTGGCTGCCTGTGGGTTACATCCTATTTTCCAGACACATATCTGTCTTCAGGAGGCCCCTGAGGGGTGCCTCACACAGTGGGGGCAATCTCTGTCCCTACTGTGAACTCCTCCCTTGGTTTGGGAGTGGGAAGGTGCAGGGCTAAGAGATGACATTTGGAAGGGCAGGAAATACTATCTGGCATATCCCCAAGCCTTCCCAGGGGATCAGAGCCCAAATGGCTGGAGGCTGATTTGGTGAAACAGAGAAGCTTGAGGTCCCAGATTCCAGTTCTGGCTCTTCAACAAGTTCTCTGTGTGATCTTGGGAAATTCACTGCCCTTTAGTGCTGAGATGACGGAATGGACCGCATGGTCCAGGTGGTCCCTTTCCACCTGGAGGTCATACAGCCCTGGGGTGAAGTTCAGGGTCAGAGGACTCAGCCCTCACTTGTTCTCCTGCGCCTCCCTAATTCCCCCACCCAGCCTGACAGCTGGGCCAGTCTGGGCTATTTATGGCTTGGCCTGATGTTGTGTTCCCCTGTGCCTCCCACGCTGGGCCCCACTCAGCTTGGGCCCAGCACCCACCCGCCCAGTCCACCAGCCACATCGCCAGGAGTCCTGCTGCTTTGGCTCTCACAGAACAAGCCATGCCCTGGGGAAAGAACTCCTCTCCCCACTGGGGACACCATCTGGGGTGCCTCCCCTCTGCCTCCGCCTGCCGGGTCTGGGGGCCCCACTCCCGCCCAGCCTGGGAGACCCGTCAGCCATCACCACTGCTCTGCCAAGACATGGCCCTGCAGAATGCCATCTACACCGGAGACCTGGCAAGATTGCAGGAGCTGTTCCCCCCGCACAGCACAGCCGACCTGCTACTGGAGAGCCGAGGCGCAGAACCTCGCTGGAGCAGCCACCAGAGGGGTGAGAGGCAGCTGGGGGTGCTGAGAAGGAGGGGGCTGGGCTGACCGCCTCTGCCACAGAGGTCCTAAGGGCTTGAGGAAAAGGAGAAGCCCCCGGCTGTTACTCTCCCGACCTCAAAACTTGCCCAATAGCCTAAACCTTGGCCCAGGCAACACAGTCATGCGGAGCCCAGAATAGCTCCTGCTGGCTGCGTGGCCAGGTCAGGCTTGGAGCAAGGGACACAGGGGGCCGTCTGCCTCCGTCTGTCTGTATTTCCCTCCTGCTCTCCCTTTCTCTACCTTTGGCATCTACCTCTCCTCCCTACTCCCCTCTCCCTGCCCGCATGCTCATGAGTTGGTCTCCAGAAGAGTGCAAGGGGCAGGGAGAGCCCCCCGATGACAGACACCCTCTCTGCGCCAGGCTGGTGGAGAAGCCCAGCAGAGGGTCTGAGGAGCACCCCAAGTCTGGCCCGGGACCCATCGTCACCCGCACGGCCTCGGGACCTGCCCTTGCCTTCTGGCAGGCAGTGCTGGCTGGGGATGTGGGCTGTGTCTCCCACATCCTTGCAGACTCCAGTACTGGCCTGGCTCCTGATTCCGTCTTTGATACCAGCGACCCAGAGCGATGGAGGGATTTCCGCTTCAACATCCGTGCTCTGAGTACGGGCTGGGGCACTGGGGGGTCTCAGTGGGAGAGAAGGGAGGCTTGCAGATGGAGCTCTGGGCTCCCTCTTCCTGCCTCTGGCCACCTCACCCCATTGGCTGGCAGGTCTTTGCCTTCCCTGGGGATCTAAGGCCCACGCCCCCCTTCCCTAGGACTCTGGTCTCTGACGTATGAAGAGGAGCTGACCACCCCACTGCATGTGGCAGCCAGCCGTGGCCACACTGAAGTCCTGCAGCTGCTGCTGAGGCGGCGGGCAAGGCCGGACAGTGCCCCTGGGGGCCGCACTGCCCTGCACGAGGCCTGTGCTGCAGGCCACACTGCCTGTGTCCATGTGCTGCTGGTGGCAGGAGCTGACCCCAACATCGCTGACCAGGATGGGAAACGCCCCCTGCATCTCTGCCGGGGGCCTGGCACCCTTGAGTGAGTGACCCCTCACCCCAACCCCCAGTTCCACTCATGAGGGGAGGCAACGAGGCCTTCTCAGGGAGGATGAGGGAAAATGTTGGGGATCTCGGGTGGAGCAGTCCAGGCTTGGGGCTCAGGTCAGGGTGCAGTTACTTCCCAAGCCATCCACCCATTAACCCCATGAACTTCGTAGTGGCCTGGACTTTGGGCAGTTTTCTGGTCTCCCAGGGGTGGAGGGAGGCTGTGGCAGGGGTGCAGTTGCATGGCCTGCATTGGGAAATTGCCTGGCTCCATTATGGAAGGTGGTGTTGCTTAGAGTTTTTTTTTAAACACTTTCTGAGCGTATTCTATGTTCCAAGCACCTCAGGGAGGCTGGTGGCACTGTACCAAGTACAATAATAACTAAGTCATGGCCCTGCCTTCAGGGAGCTTACTGTCCGTTGATCCAGACAGGGAGTAGAGGATGGTGGCCCAGTGAGGACCTGCTGGGGATCCTCTGGGCCGGGTCTGGTTCTCCACGACAGGTCTAGAATCTCCGTATTGATAGGGCACTCTCATATCAGGGGCTAAAGGCACTCTCACTAACTAAACTCCCAAGAAACTAATGAATACACCCAAATGTGCCAATGTATCATTTATTGTAGGGAATAGTTCTTTGCAGTGACATAAATAATTGCAATCCATGTGTAAGGGACCTGGGAGGATGGGATCCCAGTTACAATTGTGTGAACTAACTCTCCAGACTACAGAGGCCCTCTCTCTACTGACTGCACACCTGTGGGTCTTGCCTCTCACCTCTGAAAGGTGCCAAATGATTGACCTTGGGGCTCTCCTTTCATGGACCCTCTCCTTGTTAACTTCATCAGCCTCTAGAGGATTCTATAGACATAATCATACTATGGTTGCAGATGTGTTCTTTACTAGTGTGGCCCATTGGAAACCTAATCTGAGCCACATATGCAAGGTAGAATATTCTAGCAGCCCTATCAAAAAATGGCAAATGACTGGGCACAGTGGCTCACACCTGTAATCTCAGCACTTTGGGAGGTGGAGCCAGTGGATCGCCTGAGGTCAGGAGTTCAGGACCAGCCTGGCCAACATGGTAAAACCCCCATCTCCACTAAAAATACAAAAATTAGCCAGGTGTGGTGACGGGCGCCTGTAATCCCAGCTACTCGGGAGGCTGAGGCAGGAGAATCTCTCGAACCTGGGAGGCTGAGGTTGCAGTGAGCTGAGATTGTGCCACTGCACTCCAGCCTGGGCGAAAAAGGGAAACTCTGTCTCAAAACAAACAAACAAAAACAAAAACCCCACAAAAATTATTCGGGCATGGTGGTGCATGCCTGTAATCTTAGCTACTCAAGAGGCTGAGGTGGGAGGATCACCTGAGCCTCTGAGATTGCAGTGAGTGGAGATTGTACCACTGTACTCTAGCCTGGATGACAGAGAAAGACCCTATCTCAAAAAAAAAAAAAAAAAAAAAGAGTGAGTGAGATAGGGTTTTCTCTTTCAGTCACCCAATCTGGATGTGCAGTGGAACAATCATAGCTCACCGTAGCTTCAGACTCCTGGGCTCAAGCAATCCTCTCACTTCAGCCTGCAGAGTAGCCGAGACTTCTACAGGCCCACACCATCATGCCCAGCAATTTTTTGTGGAGACGGTCTCACTTCGTTGCCCAGGAAAGTCTTAAACTTCTGGGCTAAAGTGATTCTCCACTGCATCTAGCTGGCTCTGTTTCTGAAGGGAAAAAAAGGCATGCATAGAACACAGCACAGCTGAGTTAGGATTAGCCACATTTCAAGAACTCAGTAGCCACAGGTGGCTGGTGGCGACCACCGGATAGTGAAGCTCCACGTAATCCCACCAGCCTCCCTGAGGTCACACCCAGTGAGAATCCTTCCTTCCTTTTTGAGTAAACAAATGTATTTTGAAATTATTATGGAGACTTTGAAACATATAGAAAGTCAGATAGGTTAATAAAGTGAGCCCCCAAATCCATCACCCTCTATACCACCTGCTCCCCTGACCAAGTATGGTCATTTTGAGCTCTTACGACGACAGGTTTCTGGGCATTGTCTCACGTGCTGCTCACAACCGCCTCAGAAGGTCCAGGTGTTATTAATTATTCCCATTCTACACAAGAGGGAACTGGAGCTCAGAGAGGCCGAGTCCCCTTAGTCTTGAAGTGAGGCACACACATTGCTGTGACTCCCTGGGCTTCTTACTGTCTTGGAACAAATCCAGTTGGCCAATTTTGGTCTTTTTTTTTTTTTTGAGTCGGAGTCTCACTCTGTCGCCCAGGCTGGAGGAGTGTAGTGGCATGATCTTGGCTCGCTGAAGACTCTGCCTTCCAGGTTCAAGTGATGCTTCTGCCTCAGCCTCCCAAGTGGCTGGGATTACAAGCATCCACCACTACACCAGGCTAATTTTTCTATCTTTAGTAGAGATGGGGTTTCACCATGTTGGCCAGGCTGGTCTCAAACTCCTCACCTCAGGTGATCCACCTGCTTCGGCCTCCCAAAGTGCTGGGATTATAGGCATGAGCCACCTCGCCCAGCCAGTCAGTCTTGTTCTTTGTCCCACTGCCCCATTTCCATGTGTGCCCACAGCTGGGCCCCAAGCTGCCTTCCTCCTCCAGTCCCAGCATGCAGAGCCCCCAACAGTCCTGCTGCCCTGGACCCAAACAGCAACCCTCCCCCTACTAGCTGTGTCAACTTGCATGAGATCCTCAAACCTCAGTTTCCTCTTCTATGACATAAGAGTCATAAGAGAGCCTACCAAGGGAAGGTAGTGAGGATTAAATTACCGAATACACGTAAAGCCTTTAGCAGGCACTTGTTCTAATTGCTCATGTGATAACTGTTGGTGACTTTTATTTGCACTGACGATTTAGTGGATTATCCCAACAAAAAGTATTTGGATTTTAAAGAAGGACACCTGTTGGCTGTGTGCAGCGGCTCATGCCTGAAATCCCAGCACTTTTGGAGGCCAAAGAGGGTGGATTGCTTGAGGTCAGGTGTTCAAAACCAGCCTGGCCAACATGGTGAAAACCCATCTCTACTAAATACACAAAAAAGTAGCCAGGCATGGTGGTGGGTGCCTGTAATCCCAGTTACTCAGGAGGCCAAGGCAGGAGAATCGTTTGAACCCGGGAGGCAGAGGTTGCAGTGAGCCAAGATCATGACACTGCACTTCAGCCTGGGTGATAGAACAAGACTCAGTCTCAAAAAAAAAAAGGACACTGTTGATCTTGCAGAATGGTGCCGGGATGACCAGTGATGGGCAGGATGGAGGGTGGGTAGGGGGAGACAGAACCAAGAGCCATCCGAGTGTTCCCGCCAGGGGTCTGTGCCAGCTTTTCTCTCCACCACCATCTCCCCCCAATAGGTGTGCGGAGCTGCTCCTCAGGTTCGGAGCGAGAGTGGATGGTCGGTCCGAGGAGGAAGAGGAGACCCCTTTGCATGTGGCCGCCCGGCTTGGCCATGTGGAGCTGGCAGACCTGCTTCTAAGACGGGGGGCATGTCCTGATGCCCGTGATGCCCAAGGCTGGACTCCACTGCTGGCTGCCTGTGATGTCCGCTGCCAGTCCACTGCTGATGCAGAGGCCACCGCCGCCCGCTGCCTGCAGCTGTGCAGCCTGCTGCTTTCAGCCGGAGCAGATGCCGATGCTGCCGACCAGGACAAGCAGCGACCCCTGCACCTGGCCTGTCGCCGTGGCCATGCAGCTGTTGTGGAGCTGCTTCTGTCCTGCGGCGTCAGCGCCAATGCCATGGACTATGGGGGACACACGCCCCTGCACTGTGCTCTGCAGGGCCCAGCTGCAGCCCTGGCCCAGAGCCCTGAGCACGTGGTTCGGGCTCTGCTCAACCACGGCGCTGTGCGATTCTGGCCAGGGGCCCTCCCCAAGGTATGGGGGACTGCAGGCAGCAGAAGGGCCACCAATGGTGAGGGGACAGGGAGACCTAGGCCTGTGCTCCAGCTTGCTTTGGAATGTGGCCTGGAACACCTGTGCACATAGTTCCTTCTGTCTTTCATTGAGCATGTAAGCAAAGCCCAAATAGGAGTAAAGGTGAAGACAGATCAGTGGGAAATGTGTGTGTGTGTGCATGTGTACACATGGTGTGCATGTGTGTGTGCATGTGTACACATGGTGTGCATGTGTGTACATGTGTTCATGCACATTTGTGCATGTATATACTGTGCATGGGTGAGAAAGGAGGACTGAGAGCAGTGGGGCCAGATGATAAAGGATCCAAAAAGACGGAAGGAGTCAGGGCTCATGTGGGTGGCAGGCATTGCTTAGGGGTCTCCATCAGCACAGCAAACCGGTGAAAATAGCGTTTAAGGAAGCTCCCACTAGCAGTGGGATCAGTTCAGTGGCAGATGCAAGAGAGACTCCCCAAGGGAAGAGGGTGAACCTGTTTCAGGAGGCTCACGGTCCCCTGAACATCAGCAAATGGACACGGTCCCACTTTCTGAGAATCTAGCAGGACCCACAGGTGCCACTATCCTGGCACCTGTGAAAATGCCTTTCACTGTCAATTTCAATTTATATCCTACTTTATCTTAATTTCCCCTAAGTGGGTTCAACTTGAAGACCTGTGCTACTGATGCCCTGGGAGGGGCCTTGCCCCATGCTGTGTCGTGTCTGGAGGGGGTAGATAATGTCACAGAGGGCACTGGGCCTGGGATGGAGACATCCGTTCTCAGAGGAGATGGGTCAGACTGAAACCACCCTCTGAGTAGGCAGGTCCCCTCTGGCCCCGCTAAGGGTCTTGTCCCACCCAGCCTAGCCTGTCCTGGGGCCACCCCTGCTATCCCAGCCTCTCCCCTTTGCTCACAAACCTAGAAGCATCTGTCTGGATTCCTAAGCAAGACCAAATAATTAAACAGCCCAAGAGTTCGGCAGATTGGTCTCCCCTTTGGGAAAATACGAGAAAATCAACAATTAACACTAATTAATCTCCTATTAACACTAGATAATTAGGAGACAAGCAATTCCCTGTAATCTGACGGTGGCTCTGACAGCTAATGATTTCCCGGGCAGGCAGGGGTGGGAGGAGGGCCCAGCACAGCGAAAAGATTTCCTGGGACCCCACAGCCCTCCTCTACCCCCTCAGCCTGTCTCTGGGACCAAAGGGGCTGGCAGAACAAAGTAGCCCATTTGTCCCTTTCCATGATCTGCAGCCCTGCCAGCCTGGGCTGAGGGGTTTCTGTCCTCCCTGTGCAGAAGCCTCCACTGCCCATCTGCGATGAAATGCCAGCCCCCACTGGTTCCCTAGGAGCCACCACTTTAGACTTTGTACTCAGGGGACCTGGATCCTGGATGTGACTTAGGTGCTTTTTCTTGTGGCTATAGACAACTCACTGCATGTGATACAGCCTCTCCTGAACAGGGTGGAACGCTGTAGGACTTGGGAACAGTCGGAGCAAGCGCAGCCCTGACCACACACCAGGCACTGCTCTAAGCTGTATTTCCTGTTACAGGAGTTCCTCAGTCCTCCCAGTAACCTCTGAGGTCAGTGGTGACCAGTCGTGCAGGCTCTGGAGCCAGACACACTCCCTGTGTGACCTTCGGCAAGTTGCTGAATCTCCCTAGGCCTCAGCTTCCTCATCTGTAACATAGGGATATGACATGATGCCTTCTTTATAGGGTTCGTGTGAGAAGAGTTAATCCACATCAAGCCTGGTGCTTAACACTTTGTAGCTAGTGTTGTTCTCGTTATGTAACGGATGAGAAAGCACTTGGTAAGCTGATTGGCGTCATCCCAACGAGGGTATCACTGGACGTGGGAGAGTGCAAAGCAGGTTGGTGTAGCTGCATGGGCTTCCTGGAGGCAGGACTGGGATGGGCAGTTTTGGAGGGAGGGAGGAGAAAGAGGCAGGCATTCCAGGAAGGGTCAGCTGCTTGAGCCCAGTGCAGAGGTGGGGATCAACATGGGCCCGGAAGGACAGAGATGGGCCTGAGGGGCAGGTGGAGATGAGAGTTGGAGGGAACCAGCCTGCTTTTCCGTAGCTCCGAGGAGGAGTGAGGAAAAGAGGCCTCCCGGGACAGGCTGGTGAGCACTGCTCAGATGTAGAGCTAGAAGCAGAGGGTCTGGATGTGTAAAATGCTTTCTCCAGGGACCCCTGGAAGGCCAGGCCTTCTGCTCCCACTGATCATCGATGCTCTCATCGGACAAGCAGAAGGGTCTCCTCTCTGCAGGCAGAAGCTGCCAAGCCCCCACTGTTAGATGCAATTGTATGTCTGGGCACTTGTGGGTTGTGTTGAGATACTGCTTGAAAGATGGTACTTAGCTGTTTTCAGATCTTACAAAGGTTCTGTGGCCACAGCCTCTAGATATGCAGCAAGAGTGGAGTGCAGCGGAGGAGGCATGAATCTGCTTCAGGTACCGAGTTCAGGCATGAGCAGGCATCATGGTGCCGGTGTCTGTCAGGCCACCTTTCTGACTGTCCATAGCCTGCTCCACTGCATGGCTTGCCTGCTCACATCAGGGTTTCACTGTGTCACCCAGGCTGGAGTGCAGTGGCGCAATCTCAGCTCACTGCAACTTCTGCCTCCCAGGCTCAAGCAATTCTCCTGCCTTAGCCTCCTGAGTAGCGGGGATTACAGGTGCCCGCCACTACCACCCAGCTGATTTTTGTATTTTTAGTAGGGATGGTGTTTCATCATGTTGGCCAGGCTGGTTTCAAACTCTTGACCTCAAGTGATCCACCCGCCTCAGCCTCCCAAAGTGCTGGGATTACAGGCATGAGCCACTGCTCCTGGCCCCTGCTTATTTTTCATTGCAGCAGCAGATCTGAGAGTGATGACTTCTGTGCTTTTTATGTTTCCTTCTGAAACAGAACCTCTTGGATGATGAAGACTATTTTCCCCACTAGTCCTTGGCACATAATAGGCCTTCAATAAATATTGCTGAATGAAGCAATGAAAGCATGAGTTTGGCTCCAACTAGATCCCACCCCTGCTCCTACCACATCTTCTCCTGCTGCTATGGGCAGTCCGACAGCCTCGGACTGCCTTGTCCCTTCTCCCTGAGTGCACTCCTGGCTCCGGGGTTCCCTTGCCTCCAGAACCCAGTTCTCCCTCTGTGAGCCTCTCCTTGACCACCCAGAGCCACCCCACTCCCTGGCCACTTCTTGTAGCTGTCTCTACCCTCACTTGTCATTGGATGGATTCTGTGGTCTTTTTATCTGTTCAGGAGCTCCAGTCACAGGTCGGGGACTCCCTTCCAGCCAGCAGAAAACCTGGCCCAGGACCTTGTAGAGGCAGAGAGGAGAGCAGGATGGGGCAGCGGTTAAGGGCAAGGGACTGCACTGCCAGGCCTGGACTGTGGGAACCACAACTTGGGCAAGTTAATTAACTTCTCCGTGCCTCAGTTTCCCTTGGCTGTAACGAAGGAAATTGGATAATAACACGGGGATATTAACTGTCCACCCCAGCTGGGCGCAGTGGCTCATGCCTGTAATCTCAGCACTTTGGGAGGCTGAGGTGGGTGGATCATGAGGGCAGGAGATCAAGACCACCCTGGTTAACACAGTGAAACCCCATCTCTACTAAAAATACAAAAGATCAGTCGGGTGTGATGGCACACCTGTAGTCCTAGGTACTCAGGGGGCTGAGGCAGGAGAATCACTTGAACACGGGAGGCAGAGGCTGCAGTGAGCTGAGATCATGCCACTGTACTCCAGCCTGGGCAACAGAGTGAGATTTGGTCTCAAAATTAATTAGTTAATTAAAAGTATAGCAAAAAGTATTTCACTCAGGTGACAGCAAAAGGCCCAGGTTTCCCTTGGAGGGAGGTCAGTAAAGAGTTCATACATGTAAAGTGCTAGGGAAAGTATCTGGCCTGAGTTATGCAATAGAAAGGTAAGCTGCCATACTGGCTTCCTGGATCAAACGAAGCACCACAGACTCGGTATCTTAAAGCAAAAGAAATGGAATCCCTTACAGCAATGGAGGCTGGAAGTTTGAAATACAGGGAGGGGTTGGCAATGCTGGCTCCTTCTGGAGCCTCTGAGGGAGAATCCATTCCATGGCGCTCTTGTAGCTTCCAGTGGTTCCCCACAATCCTCGGTGTCCTTTGGCTTGTACACAGGTCACTCCTTTGTTGTCACATGGCCTCCTAGTCTCTGTAGATGTCTGTGCCTCTGTATAAGAACACCAGTCATATTGAATGAGGCCCACCCTAATAACCTCATTTTAACACGATTACATTTGTAAAGGCCCTATTTCCAAATAAGGTCCCATTCATAGGTAGAGGGGGTGAGGTCTTCAATATATCTTTTGGGAAACAAAGTTCAACCCACAACAACTATTCTGTAGCTGTCTGGTCGCTCTGTGTGGACTAACTGGATACTCTACATGTCTCTGCCTCCTGCAGGTGCTGGAGCGCTGGAGCACGTGCCCTCGGGCCATCGAGGTCCTGATGAACACCTACAGCACCGTGCAGCTTCCGGAGGAGGCTGTGGGCCTGGTGTCTCCTGAAACTCTGCAGGTCAGATTCCAGGACCCTGAACATAGAGCCTCTTAGCCTGGCCCCTAAACTGCAGCCCCCCACAGAAAGTACCCAAAGAAGAACTTACGTCCCAGAAAGAGAACTTTCAGAGTGAACCCCCAAACATTCATTGTTTCTAAGAGGTTCTGGTAGATGTCCCATCCCTCACCAGCCTACCCTGTAAGGAGGAGCCAGCGCCACCTGTCCAAGGCTGGCCATCACTGAGCCCTTCGTTCTGTCCCCAGAAACATCAGCGTTTCTACTCCTCCCTCTTTGCCTTGGTGAGGCAGCCCAGGTCGCTGCAGCATCTGAGCCGCTGTGCGCTCCGCTCTCACCTGGAAGGCAGCCTGCCCCACGCGCTGCTCCGCCTTCCCCTGCCACCGTGCCTGCTCCGCTACCTGCAGCTGGATTTTGAGGACGTGCTCTATTAGGTGAGCCCTGGGATCTGTGAGCGGTCACAGCTGCTTGGTGGGTCCAGAGATGGGTGGGAGGAAAGAGAAGCACTGGGGAGGGCCCTGGCCAGAACCGGCACCAGAAGCCTCTGAATGCAAACCTCTCCTTCCAGATCTCCACGGTCTTTTGAGAGGGCCTGAAAGCAGATGCCCCAGCCTGCAGAGGGCGCTCCTCTGCACCAACTCAGGCCAGGTAGCCCAGCTCCACAGGCAGGTGTGGATGCTGTAATTCTCCATGCACAGAGGAGGACCCACCGCGGCAGCCAGGTGATGCCTGATGAAGACACACTCCTGTTGGGGCTCTCACAGGCCCCCTTCTAGCTTGTGCAAACCCTGTATGTGCATTAAAAATCTCCAGGTCTGTGTTTAGTGCTGTCTCCAACAGACCTTCCTCTGAACCGGCTCCTTTGCAGGGGAGTCAGGATGGGCAGACTGACAGGGGCTCCCTGACTGCCCCATGTTGCCAGCTGCACCATCTTCCCCTTTGGCATCAGCCAGCTGTTAAGGGGTCCCAGGCTTGCCAGCTTCGTGAAATGAGAGAATGGTCAGCAGGTGAGAGCGCACTAGGAAGGGCCTAAAGGAGGTGCGGGGTGCACATGGAGGGACCGCAGTTAGGCAGGAAGGCACAGGAAGCCTTGGGTTAGGGAGGTGAGGAGGCAGGAGAGCCACCCAGAAGGAGGGGCACGTGGAGTGGCCCATCGCAGAGGGTAGCCATGGCTCAGGTGACAGCGAAAGGCCCAGGTTTAGAAAAACACAATCAGTTCTGCCTATGGCCTGACACGGGAGGTCAGGGAGCATCAGAAGCACGCCTGGTTCCGGCCTCTTTTATCTACTCCTTCCTTAAATTTAGCTCTGTGGCCGCAAAAGCGCTGTGCTGAAAGTTACGTGATCCAGGTTCTGGTCTTAACTGCCATTAACTCGTGGAATGTAAGTCTCTTCCCTCTCTGGGCTCACGTTTCTGCATCTGTAAAAAGAGAGGTGGAGTCCCTGAGGGTTATTGCAGTATCAGGATTTTCAGAACCTTGCCAGAGGCCCCAGCAGCCAGGAGCTGCGTGCAAGCGCAGGCGGAGGGCCGGTGGTCGGGGCAGAGCAGCCAATCAAGCACACGGTGATCCCCGAGGTCAAGGGTCGCGGACCAGAATCCCTCAGGCGCGGGAGTGCCCCTGCGCGGGAGCTCGCGACTTTCCCGCCAACCGGCGCAAGCAACGCGTGAAGGGCGGGGCCTGGAGGGCGCGAAGCCAGATTTGGCATCGAGAAGGCGGTTGAGGAGAAGCGGAGAGGAAGTGAGATGGCCCCGACTCCCACCCTGGCCTCAACGACCTCGGGCTGACCGGCCTGTCTGGCTTCAGGTGCTGGGGCGCGGCTTGGGGACACGGGTGCGGGTGGGCAAGTGGTGGAGGCCCCTTGCTGTGGAACCCCCAGGCGGGCCCCGACCCCACCGGCTCCACCTCGCGGGCGAAGGTCGGGGGCAGGAAGCCGCTGCCCCGAGTGGAGGCGCGTGCGCGGGAAGCTGGTGCCCGAGGCCCACTCCTGCGGAGGGCCTGCGGGGCGCCCCACGGAGACCGCGGTTCGGGTGGAGGTCCGGGGGGACGTCCCGGTGCTCGGTGGTTTGTTCCACAGCCGTTCCGGGGGGGCCTGCTGCGTTCAGGCACCGCCGCGCGGGGCAAGGCCGGCCCTCCAGGCCGCCCCAGGGTCCGCCTGCGCGGGGGAGCCAGAGCGGCGGCGCAGAGGAGGAAGCAGCAGCTGCTGATCTCGGGGAGAGACGTATGGGGCCGGGGGTTTGGAAGTGCGAACTATTTTAGATCCGGTGACAGGGAAACCTGCTCTCGGAGGAGGTGACATTTAGCCTGAGACCTGAGTAGAGCGGATCGGCAGGGGTGGCAGCACAGAGCGCCCCGGCTGCGGGCGTTGGTGGGGGGGCGCACCTGCGGCGGTGGTCCAGGCCAGAGGCGGTCGTAGGGGGTGAGAGTCGGGATTCCTGGGGAGAACTGGGGGCGGGGGGCGCTGAGGTGGATGTGGGGGCTGCAGAAGAGCGTTGTCTAGGGCAACTGCCTGGTTTTTGGCTTGGACCCCTGGATGGACGGTGGTGCCAGATGCTAAGATGGGGAAGACGAAGAAGGACCCGGAAGCAAAAGACCGTTGTTAGGGAGATGGCAATGGAGCCGCCTAGGAAGCATGTCAGCGGCTATGGCCCCAGGCGTGGGGATCTGGGAATCCGGGGCCGGGCCGAGCGCAAGTCTGGGCATCTTGCAAGTGCCGGCTCGCCGGCGCGAGAAAGAGTTCGGAGCTCTGCTCCCATGGAATCCCGACTCCCGGGGATGACCCGGCCGAGAGAGTCCTGTTGGTGGATTTTGATGGAAATTCTATTCGATCGCATTTACTTGGTTCATTGTGTCCTTCCGGGGCCCCAGGTTTCAGGTGCTCCATGCACTGCTGGGAACGAGACACGCTCCTGCCCTCAGTGAATCTTCAGTCTAGTCTGAGAAACAAGCTCGTGAACAACCTTTTAGAATAGAGGGGCAATAGGATGAATGCAAGATAAACGTGGGATCAGGAGCTGGGGGCATGAAAAGGAGGGCGAGGAATGGGCTTGGGATCTGGGAGGGCATCCCAGAAGGAGGATCCTCCTCTAAAGTGATAGGAAGAGTGGGGAGGATTCCTGGCCACATCTGGAGAGCCAGTGATCGTGGGATGCCTTTTTAAGGATGGGGAACGGAAGAAAGGCGATGTGGAGTGGTGGCTGTGAAGGGGCTGTGTGCAGCTTCACATGTTGTCCCTTTAGCGGGGCAATGTCAGGAGGGTCCTTCCTGGGGTTAGACATTCAGACTGTTGTGAGCCAGGGCGCTTCCTCCCCAGCCTCCTGGCTATTGGTCCCGCGGGCCCAGAACCTCTCCCTGGTAATTGCTTTTCGTAATGTGTTTGCTCCAAACCAATTTCACGCCTCCGTGAGGACTCCGCCCTGCACTGGAGGCACGGATCTCCCCACTACCAACCTACCCGCGTGTGAACTCGTGGGCTCACACATACGGCACACATTTAACACAACAGACATACAGGGTTTGGATACCAGGGCACACTAAACATACTTAACCCTACACTCACGCACACTAGACGTTAAGACATTCATGTACAACCCCCTCTCTCCAACTAGTGCATTCCGTTTAGCACCCAGAGGCGTCTCGCGCTCGCCCTTGGATGCTCAGCTGGTGGTTTCTTTGCCCTTGGCGCGTCTCCTGGACTCTCGCCAGGGGGCGCTGCAGCACCTACACCTCCTCGGTGCCCGCAGTTGTGCGCTGCTGCCACCAGAGGGTACCAGCGGCCAGGCCCGACGCTGCCCACCGTGAGAGGACTTTCTCCGGCCAATGAGTGTTGGAGGTGTAGATTTGTTGGCTCTGACTTGAATACTTTGTTCTTTCTTAGCATCCTTGGTGCTGGTTGGCAACACATGAAGCCCAGGTCGGGCTAGATGATGAGGCCATGGTGGGCATACAGATTTAAAATTTCTCTGTAGGAGCATTTCCCAAATGTCAGAGAACATGGACAAACAAAGCAGCACTTTTAGAATTCTGGTTTGGACAATGAGACCAGGTACTTGCCCAGGAATTCAGTATGAGAACCATAGTTTTTTCACTGATAAAGGAGCTAGGCTCTGTTCAGATTTGACAGAGGCAAGGTCTGTACTCGGTTGATGAGAGAGTAAAAAGTAGTTTTTGGAGTGCTCTGGATTTCAGGGAAAATGAGTCTGTTCCCTACTTGGGCACTCTGCTTATTTAGTACAGGAAGAGCTCATTTTGGAGGGTGTTTTTTCATATTCACTTGACCCTTACCCTTGCTTTTTGAGTAGGCAAAGTTTTTGTTGTTGTTATTTTTGTTATTTCTTTTTCTTTTCATTTTTGAGACAGAGTTTCCCTTTTGTCACCAAAGCTGGACTGCAATGGTGTGATCTTGGCACACTGCAACCTCCACCTCCTGGGTTCAAGCAATTCTCCTGCCTCAACCTCTGGAGTAGCTGGGATTACAGGGAGGTGCCACCACGCCCGGCTAATTGTTTGTATTTTTAATAGAGACAGGGTTTTATCACATTAGCCAGACTGGTCTCAAACTCCTGACCTCAGGTGATCTACCCGCCTTGGCCTCCCAAAGTGCTAGGATTAAAGGCGTGAGCTACCACACCAGCCTATTATTTCTAAGACAGGGTCCTGTTCTATCACCCAGGCTAGAGTGCAATGGCACAATCTCTGCACACTGAAGCCTCAACCTCCCCAGCTCAATGATCCTCCTACCTCAGTCTCCAGAGTAGCTAGGACTACAGGCATGTGCCACCATGCCTGGCCAATTTTCAAATTTTTTTGTAGAGACGGTCTCACCATATTGTCCAGGCTGGCCTTGAACTCCTGGTCTCAAGTGGTTCTCTCACCTCGGCCTTCCAAATTGTCAGGATTACAGATGTAAATCACTGTATCCCATCAGAGTAGATGTTTATCACTTTCCCTCACAGAGATGTCAAAGAGGGGTCAAGGTCACAGAGCCCAGTGAGGGGTCAGAACAGGAATTTGACTCCAGGTCTTTTTACTTTAGCCAGTGCTTCTTTCCATTTACCATGTGGCCTCAGTTCTATGTTCTATGAAAGGGCAGGGAAAGGAAGTGGGTTGCTGCAGTTGCCACAATGTATGTCAATGTTACTGTATGTCGGGGACTTCACGGAAGTCACACTTCGTGTCTCTAGCATGCCAAGGGAACAGATAGAGGATATAAATGGGTTGTGAAATATAGTATCCAACAAACGCCACACCAGGTCAACAGAAGTACTTGAGGTCTTACTTGCCTCTGTTCAGAATTGGTGGGCCACTGGGATTTATTGGCACTAAGCTTTAAGTATGTACTTCCTGTGCCAGCTTGAGTAGAGAATCCACTTTACTGAGTATAGTTCTAAGCAATAAGCTCTCAGCTTGAACTAGGTGACATACATCTTCAAGATCAAAGCATCTTTATTTTATTTATTTTTTGAGATGGAGTTTCACTCTCGTTGCCCAGGCTGGAGTGCAGTGGTGCAATCTTGGCTCACCATAACCTCCACCTCCCAGGTTCAAGCAAATCTCCTGCCTCAGCCTCCCAGGTAGCTGTGATTACAGGCATGTACCACCATGCCCAGCTAATTTTGTATTTTTAGTAGAGATGGGGTTTCACCATGTTGGTCAGGCTGGTTTTGAACTCCTGACCTCAGGTGATCCACCCACCTTGGCCTCCCAAAGTGCTGGGATTACAGGCATGAACCACTGTGTCTGGCTCAGAGGGTCTTTAAAACATTTTTTAGAGACAGTGTCTCCCTCTGTCACCCAATCTGGAGTACAGTGGTGCGATTATAACTCACTCTAACCTCCAACTCCTGGGCTCAAGCAATCCTGCTGCTTCTGCTCCCAAGTAGCTAGGGCTACAAGTGTGTGTCACCATGCATGGCTAATACAATCAGAGGGTCTTTTAACCTTGCGTCCTTCACACACCAGAAAGTGACAGGCTTCTTAAAGTGGCCTTTTATTGAAGGTATTGGTAGAAGAGAGATGTTTCAATATATATCCTTTCGAGCTTTTGGAATTTTGTACTATGTGATTTCATTACCTATACAATAAATGAATACAGTTACTTTTAAAAAATGGCTCTTCCTTCATCCTTATTAATTGGTCCTGTAACTGCTCATACAGGTTTAATTTCAATTATTGTATCTCCAAGTTGCCTCAATAATTTATCAAGTCAATAAGCCTCTTATGTATCCAACAATGTTAAGCCCTCTCACTTTAAAAATACAATATACTTTTGAAGCTTGGTTTTCATGTTGATATGGTAAAGTGCTTGGTTAATTTAACAAAGGGGAGTTCTGAAGAATATCTTTAGACAAGTCCTTTAGTAGTGAGTTGGAGTTCCCAGACCTAAGCTAAGGCACCTCTTCTTTCTCCATCATGACATCTTACACCAGACTCGTTTCTTAGAAATTTCACTGAGCTTAATGTGGTGACCAAGGTAGATCAAGACTGCATGGAAATGACACTCTTCTCTGTTTACCTCTGATGAATTGTCAGTTAAGGCATAACCAAAAAACTCTCAATTCTTGAGTCCTGCTCTCTTCCTCAGTCCACCCTGGTGACTGTGTTTCAAAGTACTGATTTAAATACATCAGCCTGACATTAACAGTGTTCACTAGGCTAACACAACATTCCTGATGGAACAAATGTCACTGAGATCCAGAGTTCCCTCCTGCTCTGTCCTGTCTTGGCGAGGCAACCCTGGGACTTGTGTAGATTTTCCTCCTCAATGGACCCAAATCACTTCCCCTACCTAGACTGCATCTTCCTAAACTTGCCTAGTTTTGCTGTTATTAATTTTAACTAGCTTGGCTCTCCCTACCCTCGCCTGAATAACAATCTTCTTGTGACCATATGACACTCACTGTAGCTAGCCAGGCTGGCTCTGTGTCCTGAAGCTTGGGTCACTCTTCTGTTGACTTGCCTGTCTTAAGTCTCTTTCTTACCCACTGACCTGAGGTGGCTATCAAGCCAAAGTGTCTGTGACTTTTGCCTCTAGATTGACAACTCTACTGCTGAGAATTGGGAGTAGGAGGAGAGCAGTAAAAGGCGCCACCATTTCTGTGTCTCAGAAGGGGGGAGGTGAGAGTCATCTGCAATTAGCGGATAATTAGCGCTGCTGACCCTTGGGGCTCATCAGCGCTCCTGGGGCCAGCCCCCAGCAATCAGCCAGGGCAGGTCGTGAGTGTCAGGCCCGGGAATGAATAGGGCTCATCAGCGGCGCTGGAGCTGGGGAGCCAATCAGGGAAATTAATAGCAGAAGAGAGGGAGAGAGTTCGAGGGAGGGAGACAGGAGATAGACAGACAGACAAGAGATACCGTTAAAGGAGAGAAATGAGAAAAACCAAGTAAGAGGGACTGGGATAAGGAATGAGAAATGGGAAAGAAATATCAGACAGAAATAGGAATAGAAACGAGGACGGGAAAGGGAAGAGGAGTGGGAGGAAGAAAAACAATGTAAAGGATGGGAGAAAGATGGAAGGGAAAGGTGAGAGGAATGGTAAGTACTTGGCATAGTGTGGGCACTCGAGGAAACTACCCACAGAGGCGAGAGAAAGGGACTAGAGGAAGTTGGCGATGGAGGAGGGAAAAAGGAAGAAGGTGAAGAGCCAGTGCCAAGAGAATAGAGACCAGAGGCCAGAGCGCGAATGGGACAGACAGACAGGAGGAAAGGGGCCCCGTAAGAGTGGCCCTAAGCCGCAGTACCGGGCGGGTGCAGCGCGCCCCCTGCCGGCCCTGCCTCGCCCCCTCAGCCCCGCGCTCTGGCTCGAAGGGGCGGCGGCGGTGCTGTCCCGCCCGTCGCGCTGGAGCTTGCTCTGGGGACCGCCACGACGCCCGCTCCACGGGCGGGGGAGGGGTGTCGGAGCCGGGAGGTAAGCCGGGGAATGACTCGGGATCCGACGGAGGGCGGCGGCCCAGGGCAGAGGGGTGCTGTCGTCCGGCCCCGCTGCCTGTCCCTCCTGGTGCGCCCTCCCCGCCTGCCGCCCGGCGCCCCGTCCGCGCTTGGCTCCGCCGTCCCGTCGGAACCTGGGCCACCACCCGCTCGCCCTCCGAGCCGGGCCGAGCCCGAGCCGCGTGGGTTGAGTTGGGGGTGGAATGAGTGGAGGGAAGGGGACCGGCCCAGCAGCTGCAGCCGCCTTCTCATCGGCCGCAAACTTTCACAAAGCGGCATGTCCGGCCTCATCAATCTCCATTAATAATAGTTGGCTGGGCCGTGGGGGGTGGGCGGGGGTCCCGGGTCGGCCGGCCGGGCCGCTGGGAACGGGCTCTGCGGAGGGAGCGGGAGCCGGGCGCGGCGGCGGCGGGCGGAGGGAGGAAGTGAAGCGTAATTTGAGGAAGATGGATGAGTCCGGAGGGCGACACCCCCAGCCCGCCCGCTCGCCCGCCCCCTCCCTCCTTATGAGAGAGAGGGAGCGCGGCGCCGGAGACACACTGCGCCGAGCCCGCGCCCCGCCGCCACCTCGGCCCGGGAGCCAGGGAGCGAGCCCTGCGTGTCAGCACGGGGCGCCGGAGCCGCGGGGCGCACGGAGGCACCTAGAGGGGAGCGCCCCGGGGTGCCCGCAGCTCCGAACAAGATGCAGCGGGCCGGAGGCGGTGGCGCCCCCGGGGGAAACGGCGGGGGCGGCGGCGGGGGCCCAGGCACTGCCTTCTCCATCGACTCCCTGATCGGGCCGCCGCCGCCGCGCTCCGGCCACTTGCTCTACACCGGCTACCCTATGTTCATGCCCTATCGGCCGCTCGTGCTGCCTCAGGCGCTGGCCCCCGCGCCGCTGCCCGCAGGTCTCCCGCCTCTTACCCCGCTAGCCTCCTTCGCCGGCCGCCTTACCAACACCTTCTGCGCCGGGCTGGGTCAGGCTGTGCCCTCGATGGTGGCGCTGACCACCGCGCTGCCCAGCTTCGCGGAGCCTCCCGACGCCTTCTACGGGCCCCCGGAGCTCGCAGCCGCCGCTGCCGCCGCCGCCACTGCCACCCGAAACAACCCCGAGCCAGGCGGCCGACGCCCAGAGGGCGGGCTGGAAGCCGACGAGCTGCTGCCGGCCAGGGAGAAAGTGGCAGAGCCCCCACCACCTCCGTCTTCGCACTTCTCAGAGACTTTTCCAAGTCTGCCCGGTAAGTGCTGGGGCCGACCAGGGCGGGCTGGAGGCCCGTTCACCTGGAACTTCTGGACAGGAACCTGCTCAGAACCTCGGCACCTGCCTGGACCTTGAAGTCCCAGACCTTTAGATCGCACTCAGGTTCTGGCTCCAATTCAGTTCCAAATACAGCTTCTTTAGGTCCCAGAACCCCTGCCGTGCTCTGTCCCCGTAGCCCCGGAGGCTAACCGAAGACTTTCCAGTGCCCTCTTCACTTTAGTGCCTTTCCCTCAGCATCCTAGCTATCAAGCCTTGGCCCCGGTTCCTTTTCAGAATTCCTTCATTTTTTTTTTTTTTCTCTCCTCTGCTGGGATTAGACAAGCTACAAGGGGGGGTTTCTGGGGGCATCAAGATGGGGATATGTTGGGGCAGCTCTCAGTTCAGCATTGCAGGGCACATTCTGGCTTCTAAAGAGATCATACTGACCAGAAAAGCTCAAAGGGTGGGGATAGGCTCTGTGGATGCAGGGGCAAAGGGAGGGTCTTAAAGCCGTGACTTCTGAATTGGCAGATTCAGAGCTAAGCCTTGAAGAACTGAGTAGGGGGCCAAAGAGAACATGAGCCTACAGGATGCCTAGCACACACTGGACAAGTGCTAACTAGGATGCCAAGAGAGAGGCTACAGGCTGGGCTGAGTTGGGTGTGGTCCAAAGACTGGAGTGCAGAACCCAGCTAAGATTCAGCTGACAGATAATTCAAGAGCCCTGGACCCACCATGAATGGTGCCCTCTCCATAGAAGCAGGGTGTATTAAACTGAACCTTGTTTAGAATCAGTTCAGTTAGAGCCCTCCTGACCTCTCTATTGGTCCTTAACTCCTAGAAGCCAGAAAAGCTTTCTTCTGACTAGAGATTCAGGTGTTCTGAGATCCAAAGCTTATACTATTTGGTGGGGGCCTATTTAAGAAAAACAGGGACCACTTGCAAGTGTGGGGACTTTGATGCTTCAACATGTTTAGCGTCAAGATGGAACTGCCTCCACTCAATCATTCATTGCATCCAGCTTAGAGGTGGAAAGGACCCTAGTAGGCATGGGGGCTGACTTTAACAGAGACAAGAAGGGAATGCAAGAGTGCTTTTGTCCTTTGCCAGGAGAAGCAATTCTTGATTATCGGTTTCTGTGCTCTTTCTGACATTGTCCAAAGGGTTAATCACTCTTACCCCAAAGGCTGCCATAGGGCCTGTCTTCCTATTCTTTTCTCCTTTAGCCCTGGCATTTTGGTTTTGGGGATTCAGCTGTTTTCTTTTCTTTTTTTTTTTTTTTGTACCTAGTTGGATCAGGAGGATCCAGTAACTAAAATCAGAATAGCATCTTCTAAATGGGATCATAAGGAAAAGATAGAGCAGCAACTGAAAAGTGGGAGAAAATGTTCACGAGATAAAAGGGCCCAGGGTGGAAGCCTAGAAGCCAGTAGGATGATCTTAAGAAGAAAGGATTACTATGATTGTCAGGATTGGATGGTCCTAAGGCAGAAAAAAGAGAAGGCAGGCCGTCAAAGAGATGGCTTTGGAGGCAATAGGACCTGGAGGTGTAACCAAACACATCTAGAAAGGGATGAGCTGAAGAGAGAGGATAGAGAGGGATCCCTTGGTAGGGGAACAGAGGGGCATATGCCCAAACCATGGGACAACAAGCAATTTGTCCCACTTTTTCAGGTTCTCTTAGTTCTTATTTTGACCCATGTGTATAATGCAGGCTCTTTTCTGGATCGTATAGTATATTGAGTATAAAAGCAGACATTGAGAAAAGAGGAATAAGCAGAGAAAAAGAACAGAAGAGAAATATTGATGAAACAAGAATAGACAAAAGGACCAGGGGATGAGCTGTATGCTGAGAATATCCAAAGAACATGAAGAAGGAGGGAGTTCTCTGCTGGAAAAGGGACTCTTGACTGGACTAAATGAAAAGTGAACTGTATTACTGGACTACAAGTGTAAGTGAGTGAGAGAGAGAGAGAGAGAGAGAGAGAGAGAGTGTGTGTGTGTGTGTAAGAGTTCTGTCATGTGAGGATTTGGGGGGAACTAAATAAAAATGCTTGGGGAACAAGTAAAAGTTTCAGCACTAGGAGTAATACTGAGAGTGATGGGAAACTGGAATTTATATGAAATGATAAAGAAAAGAGCTTCACCATCCGAGGAAAACCTTGGAAGCAAAAAAAAAAAAAAAAAAAAAAAAGAGATTTGTGTTCTTAGAGTAAAGCAAGGAATTTTTTTGTCAAGAATGATGGGAAGGAGAACTTACAGAGGAAGAATTTTGAGAAAGTGCTGGAATAAAGATAATCACTCATGCTGGGAGGAGATAACATGTAAAAGGTTTATAGTGGGGGGCTGCGATAGAGTAGTAAGGTGGAAAGACTTCAGAGGAAACATTCAAAGAGCACGGGAAATGAGAGCTCCTATCTGTGACCACTGCTTCAGTCACTCTTAGCAAACATGCTGCCAACTTTTCCTAGCCAAGCCATTGACATCCACCTTCCCAATCTTGAGTTTTTCCTGAAATCATTGAGAAAAGAAAATGCAATTCCAGAAATGAGAGACATAAAATCAATTTGGAGACTGATGACACATGACCAGGCTAAAAATGGTTGGAAAATGAATACTCTGTTTTGGGAATTGTATTCAAGTATTTGGAGTGAAATGACAGAGTTCTCTGCTGTGAATAATGGGATTGAAACCTCAACATTAGAAGAGTTTGGAGAAATAATGCAATCTTTAAATGATAGAGGAAAAATTGTTTTCTTGGTGTGAATGAGTGACATTGGTCTGAATTGATTATTAATTTACATTTGTTTAGTGTTTTAGAACTGCTAGCCCGTTTAAATGAAATCATAGTTAGATAGGCCAATTTGGAGAATGACTAGTGAGGTTATTTTTTGGGGAATTACAGGGACTTTAAAAAAAAAATTTGTTGACAGTTAAGACAGTTACCATTCTCTACTAGAACCAACGAAGGATAAAAGGAACTTTGTTATGATTTGATTGTAGGAGTAGAAGCTATATTAGCAGATGAAAAGAAATATATATAGAAGTAATTGAGTAGAAAGTTATTGGAAATGGTAGATTGAAAAGAATCCCAGGTTTGGTATGTGGGGAGCAGTGGGGAAAATGGAGAGAATGTCTTTTAGTAAAAGTGATAAAAGAGGAGAGAATTCTGAGCTATTGGGGAAGATTAAAGTATGACTCAGTAGAAGAGCCCAAAGTAGTGCTGGCTGGTAGAGATATATGCAAGCCACATATATCATTTAAACATTTTTATTGGCCACATGAGAAAGATAAAAATAAGTAAAATTAATAATACATATTTAAATTCAAGATGTCCAAAATATTATTTCAACATTAACATTTTAATAAGATAATTTTATATTCTTTTTTCATATTAAGTCTTCAAAACCCAGTGTTATTTTACACTTCCAGCACATATCCATTTGGATTAGCCATGTTTCAGTTGATCAACAGCCACATGTGAGCAGTGGTGACCATATTTAACACAACCAATCTAGAGAGTTTTAAGAACACAGTCACCTGAAAGTGATGGAGGAAAAGGAGCTTCAGATTGGATACTGGGTCCTCAATGTATTAGGAGTAACAGAGAGAAGAGAGCAGGAAGCTCTAAATGACAGGAGAGAGCAGAATTCTGTCTTAGGTGGGATGGGCTGAGATGATCTTGCATATCTGAAGGTTTGTGTGAGCTCTGGCTGAGAGTAATTGAAGCTAACTTGCTGTGTGCAAGATGTGGTGCAGATTTGCATCACAGCGACAATGGTTGAAAAGGATGCTATGCAGTTGGGGAATGATGAAAAGAGCTGTGAATGTGGAGAAATAAGAAGAAGGCTGGGCACGGTGGCTCACACCTGTAATCCCAGTATTATGGGAGGCCTGAGGTGGGTGGATCACCTGAAGTTGAGACTTCAGACCAGCCTGACCAACATGGAGAAACCCCATCTCTGCTAAAAATACAAAATTAGCCAGGAGTGGTGGTGCATGCCTGTAATCCCAGCTACTTGGGAGGCTGAGGCAGGAGAATTGCTTGAATCCGGGAGGCAGAGGTTGCGGTGAGCCGAGATCGCGCCACTGCACTTCAGCCTGGGCAACAAGAGCGAAACTCCATTCCCCCCACCCCAACCCCCCCAAAAAGCAGAAGAAAACTTTGAGTTGGGGGCAATTATTCACTCAAGTGGAAAAAAAGATTGGATTGCCTGAATGCAAAAGCTTAGGAAATAAGGAACGGTAGATACTCTATATATGTTAGATGGATGACAAAAATGTAGTGAGAGATTGACGTGAAAAATAATGCCAGTATTGGTTATGGTAAAGAAAACATTTGTAGTTTAAGGTTATATAGAAGATATGGGAATACAATGGGAGAAACCTGAGACACGTTGGTGTAGTAAACATTATTTTATTAAACTAAGCAGAAAAAGATTTGCTAATTTCTGAATAGAGATTGGCAATAACAATGGAAATCATGCAAGGAAACCAGAGAGACTTCCTAGGAGCATAGTATTCAAGTGCTGATTACTGTGAGCTAAGCACCTGATTGTAGCTGGAGAATATTTGGATGACCATTAATTAATTTCTGAATAAGTATCCATTATAATTGTCAAGATATGATACTTACTTATGAGAGGAAAACAGAACATGATAATGCAACGTGGAATTAGAGACTTATGTTGTTAGAAACAAGAGGGAGATTTCTGGGAGAAGTGATGGAGATCCAGAGTATGTTTTCCTAGAACTTTTGAGTATACAGCGAGAGTGATTACTACATTGACATTTATAGAAAGGCAAATACTGCATTAACTTAATGTGATTGATGGAACATTTGTTTAGGAGTTATGACACATGGGTTCAATTCTCACCTTTGTCACTCATTAATTGTATAATTCTGACAAGTCACTTAGTTCAATTCAGGGAACATTTATTGTATGTCTATTAAAGACGTAGTATGTTTGAGACACAGTGGGAGAGTCAAATTCATGT